AAGTTTGGACCGAGTTATCAAGCTTGGGTTCAGTTGAAGGACAGATGATATACGACTCTTGGGTTGTGTGGACTTGACACCGACGGCTGACTATAACTGAACACTTTACGTAGATAGTGTTATGCAACGAACGCTTGTTATGTGTTAAGAAGGAACGTTTTTGTTAGTATGTATGAGGAGTAAGGTCGAGTGCGGAGTGATTGAGAGGATGAACAGAGGGAGAGATCACTAATCCCTGTTACGGTAGCCACAACTCATATATTTAAACATCACTGGAAATAACATAAACCGTGATAGACGTTAATAGTCTTTATTGTCGCACTTAAGAGCACCATCACTAGGAGACAGAAGTAAACACAGTCAGTCTCAGTGGCCAGGACTGAGCCCATTGTGGTATAGTGAATTATGCTGAATACTGTACCATTAGAAGACCCCCCACCTCTGCCACCCACCACAAGTACAGTACATAATAATAAACATAAAACCTTAATATATAATAATATAATACACTAATACAGACCAGGTACCTACAACACATGTGGTACATATATGGTCCTGCACCATTGTTTTGAACTGTATAGTTAATCAGTTTGGTCCTAACTTGGTCTACTGTACTTTTCACCAATACAGTGTGATTCCCTCATGTATGTTTGGTCTAGGGTGAAATAAATAGTTTGTAATCAATGTTGTTATCAAAAGATGCACATCACCATCACTGTGAAGTACTGTACTACATCCCAAATTGCAGTTGTTCTGAAGGGCAAAACACCAAGACCTCTGTCCTGTGGATGTAGAATTTTCACCTACAAGTTGGAAATGAATAATGTAGTAATTGAATACAGTATTTCTTCTGTTAGGGTGAACAGTCAAGCACATTAGAATTTCATCGTGTAATTTTTGTCTCCACAAATTTACACAATAAGTAGAAGAAGTAAAACTAGTTTATACACCAACGACTGGTAAACAATATATCGTTGATCCTGCAGTAGAACACCCACAAAATCTAATGTGGACTAGTGTAATTACTGACCTTGTTGCTTGCTTATAGATTGACCTCAGTTGTTGAAGCACAGTAAGAAAATTGCAATGTCATGTACCTTGTTCAGTAGGGTATCATAAAGTTTAAATGTCATAGTTTTTTGTTGTATGGGTTTGAGAACAGAATGTGCAGAGAATAATGAAAAAACGGTTCAGCGAGTTTAGTGATCTGGACTGTAGAGGAACAGATGGAACAAAAACTTAATATCTTGGAATATTTTAAATACTATGCCAAGGTCCTGGTCTTAAAAGCCATGTTAAGTGAATTTTGTTCTGTCATAGTTATCAATAAATTATTTCCAAGTTATTATAGGTCTGAGTGACAATAATTATATGTTGTTGTTTATTGTACACAACTGTAAGATCACACACTGTAACTAAACAAGCTAATAGATGGTTGTTGGAACTAATGTTTTGAGGAGAAATTAATAATTGTCAGCATGTTAACCTCCTCATCACTGTAAACCATAGTGTGTGGTGCTGAGCAGAGGTTTGTGTCTGTCTGTCTATAACAGTAATTTGTTATAGCCGAGTTGTTTATACATTAGTGTCAGGACAATACAGTAGAATAGACTGTATATTATTGAGTCATTTTCTAGTATTATGAAACTACTTGATTAACTTTAAATATTGTCTATGCAAAAATATTAACAAAATTTTAAATGATTTGTGTTGACAGAATAAAAATTAAAGTAGAGGATAATATTAATAATAATAATAATAATAATAATAATAATAATAATAATAATAATAAAAAATTCAAATTAAAAAACAAAAAAATCATGAGTAAGATCAGATTAAAAAAAAACACAACAAATCAATGCTATTGTACTTGTCTGTGATGGACACGATATGATTTTGTTTTCACGCTCGAGCACCACAAAATAATAAGTGACAATAACCATGTAACTAATACTGTACTTCACTGTGATGATGGAGTTTGGTATCACCTTAAGTGTTACATGTGAAAAGTATATGATATTGCTGAGTTTCTTCCTTGATATAAAACAAGATTTTCCCACTGAGATCATAAAGTGTTGTATCATTATTGTAAGTGTGGTTTAGCAGACCACAACGATTTGCTACAGTATTTGGTATTTGACGTGGGATTTTTTCTTATTAATTATTTCTGGTTAATATAGTTATGCACGCACTAGTAATTTATACAGGATTATTCAGAAATAAACTCTTTGAAACAGTCATAAAAACAATGTATGTATTCCATCCCTAATACACACATGGGTTGCTTTTTATAACTGTTGAAGCGTGTTTTCTTCTTTTGGGTGACCCTGTATACATACTGTACTTGTACTGTATTTATAAGTTTCAGAAAGTTTCAGAAATTAGTCTTCATACAGTACAGTAGTCACAGACTTCTTTTCACAGTACTGTATTGTCAATTTATACCACAGTTGTGTTTTACTCCTCAGAACCTTCATGTGGCCAACTTGTTTTAATACTTGGGGGAAAACTTATTTATATAATTTAAGAACAGTTGAAAAGTACACATACAGTATATATATGTTACTTAATTCTATCAATACTTTATGCAAGTATCATACAACTGTGAGTGTTTTGTGTAACAACAAGATAAGATTTGGTTTTTAATGCTACTTGATAACCCAAAGTCAGTTATAAATAATAGCATGCAACAAGATCAACCATCAGGTATAACCATAAAAAATGACATATTATCTCATTATATGAAAAGTCTATTTACTACAACAAAAAATATAAATATTATATAAAAGGCATACTGTGCTGTACGTATTTATTGTTATGTACGGTAGATGTGATCAGGTGATGTTGTTGACAGGAACACAGAGTTGTTTCATGTACTACAGTGTCTGGGTTGTGGATGCTCTCAACAAGTCCTCCCTCTCCTTATATTATGCTGCTACTACAGTCCATTGCCCCTCCTGTTGTTAAGTCTTGGTGTTGAGTAGGTGTTGTAGATATGGATGACACCAGCATGAGGTTGGCCAGGTCACACTGCTGCCCTGCCAACTATGGTGAGACATTGTGGCACTTCGTGTTGTAGAATTGGCAGTAAAAAAGTGTACTTTGTAGGCTAGTAGTCAGGTGCCAGTGGTTAGCCAGGGTGTGCCAGAGCCCAGCCCGGCTGAGGAGCCCACTGTCCGCTGGCCCAGACAAGCTACTAAAGTGCCGCTCTCTCTTGTTGCAGGGTCGCCCACCTCCTCTTGTCCTTAGCGAGCAGCTGCTGGGCCATGGGCTGAAATGTCCTATCTGCCAGAAGGAATTCAAAGTGCTGGGCTCACTCAAGCGGCACTACCGCAGTCACATAAACTTTAAACCTTACATATGTGATTTATGTGGAAAACGTTTCACTTTGAATCAGTACTTAATAGAGCACAGACGGACACACACCGGTGAACGACCGTACAAATGCCACGTGTGCGGCAAGAGCTTTGCTCAGACGGGCACTCTCTACCACCACGTGCGCAATGTTCACCAAGTGAGCTGGACTGAAAAACAACAAGACAAGAGCTAGGGGTTGCAGTGTCTCAAGTGGTAGACTGTGTGTGTTTTATAAGCATGAAACATATGTTATATACTCCTTACAAGCAAATCAAATCAGGGACATTGTTATTCTGAACACACCGTATGCCTTAAATGCATAATGACTTGAATTATAATGTTGTGCTGTCAGACACTGTTGTGTCACTTCGACTTTCAATCATTTGCACTGCTTGTAAGGGTAGTGTGTGTGTGTGTGGAGGAGTTTGTATGGTCAACTTCATGGTATAAAGTGTAAATTTGATAAGTATTGTTTTACATAATCTATGATATTGCTTTAATAAACTTTTAGTCTCAAATTTTCTTCTCAAAATATGTATATGTTGGATTTATGGCTTAATCTACTTAATCACCAAAGTCATTATTTTAGAGTACAGGTTCATTTGACTATATCGTACTAAATACTTAATTTACAGTGCATCACAACTTGGTCACAAACACTTACAAGTTTGTATGTATAATCATAATTTATTTGCTAATGACGTAACTGTAAGAAGTGCACAATAAATGAATGAAAACTTAATCGTTTTTTAGTAGAGAATCCTTACAAACACTCAGCTGTTAATGCTCCTTAAATAACTCTCATACACTGTTTAGTACATCATTAATGTCATTCACCACAGACAAATATAACTTAACATAGATATATTTTAACATTGTTCTGAAGGAATGTTGAATTAATTGTGAAAGTTACTGTGGATAATATTTTGTGAGATCTGTGATGGAAAGACATTGTGTATGATTTTATTACCTGTTGTGAGGAAGTGTTAGCATCACTCTCTTGTCTTTCTCTTATATAACACTACTGTACACTTGTTTTATATCTTAGTCTCTTTTACTTTAGTTTTTGGAAGGAACTTTGATCACTTTTAGTTTAAGACTCCTGTACTGTACAGAAATATAAGTTATTAAACTTTGACTTTAAGACTTGAGAGACTGACAATGTTGTGCTCAATTCTGACAATAAATCTGCAGTATTTACAAAACTCCAGATACAGTTTATGTAAAGTCTCGGATAATTACATTTATCCTTCTGTACACGGATCAAACTTCACTACTGTACTGGCTCACCATTTAAAGCTCTATTTACAGTTAGTTTTCTTTAGCTGCTATACATATAATTTATATTACTGTGAATTTTTAAATGGTTTGTGTATTAAAAATAAACCTTTGCAGTGCCAAGCCTTGCACCCAAACCACAAAGCATTTTCATTTCATTTTATTCTGATTTATTTACAAAAGTCATAGATTATATGGTAACTGAATTACTGTAGTGTAGTGGCTATGGTGTCAAGTATTGGCATGCGGCAAGTGGTAGGCGGTGACGGTGATAACAAGTAATACTCCCTCGGGGTGCTGGGATGCATGAGGAATTCACATTATACTGTGGGAAAGTGCCTGATCCAAATCTCCCCTTGTTTCAGAAGGACTTGTCATCAAAGTCATCCAAATTGAAACGGGAGGACTCATCCATGCTGAGCCCTCAAGGTCACTCCTTACCTCCTCACCACTCATCTGCTCCAATGTCTGGCTCTATGCTCCTACCACCAGGGCCACTCTGGCCCCAAGATAGCAACGTTAACATTGAGGAGATACTGCCGTGCCCCATCTGTGGTAAGCAGTTCCCCAAGAAGAGAAAGTCCAACCTACAAGTGCACCTAAGGACTCACACTGGAGAGAGGCCATTTAAGTGTCAACAGTGTGGTCGTGGTTTCAAACAAAAAGCTCATCTTGAGAAACATCTCGAAAAGTCCTGCCATGTAATGTCTGAGTACGTGCCTTATCCGTTTTTTCCCAAGATCTGAGCGGTGGGCAACTTCTACACGCTCAGTACCGTGACCCAAGAGGCTCGTGCTCACTCTGGCTTAGCGACTCTACCTCAGTCCTGCCTCAACAGACTCTAGGCCTGTGCCAGAGAGGCAGCGACTCCACCCAAGTCCCGCCTCGTCAGACCTTGGCCCCGTGCCAGAAGGGCAGGGACTCCACACCCCGGCTGAGCACATGCATTACTCCCTAACTCAACAATGTGATGTTGTCTGTGACAGTGACAAAGTTGCCTATATTAAAACAGTTAAGGAATTGTCACGGACTGAGAAAATAGATGGCTTTAAACTGCTCATGTATAGAGCACCTGTGAATCTCCTGTTTGAGATATGAATGCATAATTGTAAGTAATAGATATGACTATTTGAACTTTCTTGCTACATTATGTCAACACGGGTACAACCGTCCGATATTAGTTTTGTATTCACATATATGTACAATTATTAATGAAGTTAGCAACTTTTGAGTTATTATACTGTAGCTGACTCCAGCTTCCATACATACATGTATCTGATGTACATACTGCATCATCCTGTACAGAGAGCATTAAAACATAAACTCTTGATCTTTTAGCCTAGTTTCAAAATAGTGCCCTGCAGTGGTCCATCTCTTCCCTCCATAACTCGTGTCATATGTCCACATTTTATACTCCATAATACTATATTCACTGTACTATATGTAAATAAATATATAGATGTATATCAAATTTTATATGTACCGTATTATTAAGAATGCAAAAAGGGAAAATTTATAAAATTCAATTTAGTTAGAGATATAGAAGAGATATGTATAGCTTCAGGTTGTCTGAAGAAAAAAATAAATATTTAATGATTTATTAAATGTTAACTGGGCATTCATTAATTACCCAAAGCCAATGTGCTTCTTTCTTAAGCTTCCAATAAGATAACGGCAATTTTTTGTACTGCAACGCTCTCTTCCGTCTTACCTGCTGGGTTATAAAAAATTGCCTTCAATTATAATTAAATAATTTCACTTCTCCATTAAGGGAGGCTTTTATTTCAACTGTGTACTTACACTGTACAGCACTATACTGTACTTCTATAGTGTTGTTAATCACTTTCCATTATTTCCTTCAAAGTGTGAAAGACGCTGAGAAACACTAAGTTCTCTTATTAATCTTTGTACTGTCTGCCATATTGCCACGTCTGTTTCGAGATTCTTGTTATTTAAATTTAGCTTTACCTTTCTCCAATAATTCTCTTGATCGAGTCCTTATAATGAATCACACAGCCTCAAATGAACCCATCCAAATAAAGGTTTCTAACAGATGCACCTCACATCTTTAATATATAATCCATCCTGCCATAGCTAATAATTCACCAATCCCTTCTGAATACTATATCTCCTAACAATCATCTAGATACATATACGATAGATTCCTTCCCATATTCACTCAACGTTCAGGGATTATTTACCGTAACGACGTCTTTATGCCAACAAAGCCTTATGCAACATTTACCTCCATCTTATCTGTTCCAATTAACACGAGCAGAAATATTTGGTCCGTTGTGTATTGTAATCTATGTGTTTTAAGAATATAAATAATCCCCACTAGTCCTTTTCTTCTATTTTTTTGGACCTGTCGTCATCAAACCACCAACACCGTTTAGCGTTGTGGGTCAGCATCCTTCACTCCTTAGCTGTAGACAAATTTTATAGAAGATTAATATTATGGTAATGTTCATTTTTTCTATATATATAATTTCTTCCATCTATACATAAAAAAATAATATTTCTTTCATCTATACAAACACAACTTAATATTTCTTTCATCTATACAAACACAACTTAGTATTTCTTTCATCTATACAAACACAACTTAATATTTCTTTCATCTATACAAACACAACTTCCATTATTTCATCTATACACCACACACACACACACACAGGATGCTCCCCATATCTTCCCATCACTTATTTTTATCTCAAGGTTTTGTTTAATTTCTTATCCACAAAATAAATCATGCCAAGGAATTAAACTATTGAACGTGTGTAGTTCTGTAAGAAATAGAATTAGGAAATTATCTGAACTCCAGTATACAAACTCTGTGAACTGATCTATATATAATTTCTGCACATGTGATGTGCATTATTGTAGACCAGAAGGACCACGTTTGAATCACTGTATTAAATTGGTCCTCATCATTATTTCCCTAGATATTTTTTACATTAATACCTAGATTATCCAGAAACAACTAACCAGTCTTTATGTTAAAAAGAATATAAAAGAAAACATTTCACAGTTGTATTAGTGTTTACCTCATGGCTTCCTTAGGTATCAGATCTGGTTCTGTGAAGAGTAACATAAATATTACGCTGGGATGTTCAATGTGTATAAAATTTCCTAATTGGTTTTTAGACTTAGCGTACGTATTGCTGTATGGGATTTGGTTCGTTCCTCCAAACTGAACCAAACTTACCAAAGTACATGTGATATTTAAATTAAAGTTGATCATGTACAGAGATAGTAGTAGATATATTGTGTTAGATTCTTAAAAAGTATCTAGACAATATTTATTGTCTCTTAAAAAAATACAGAATGGAAGTATAACTCCGACACAAGGCAGGGCACTAGCAGCTGCACTCTAACATAGCCTTTGGACCGAATTGTTAATCACTACTTGAGTATTAAGACTTAATCACTTGGTTGTGAAAATGATTAGTTTAACTTACATGTGATAACTCTGAACTGAGAAACTTGGTGTTTAAGAGGCAAATTCTTCATGTAATTAATAATGTAAGTTCAGTTGGGAATTGATTAGCAGTTTCAATTAATTCTCAAGCATTGATTAAGAATTTTGCCCTCTCTTCATCTGTGGTTGAGGTCTTGTAAATCCTGTATATAGAATTACTGTATAGTCATTATTTTAGTATTCTGTACCTACATGCACCCTTTAATGAAAATTCTGTCTATCATTGAAATAAACACTATTTTCTGTCAATGACGGTGTATTATTTGGCATCTAAGTACAGCAACGGCAAGGTCAGGGAGGTACAGTCCATGGCCTCCAGTTAGTGTGGTCATGGAGGGAGGTACAGTCCATGGCCTCCAGTTAGTGTGGTCATGAAGGGAGGTACAGTCCATGGCCTCCAGTTAGTGTGGTCATGAAGGGAGATACAGTCCATGGCCTCCAGTTAGTGTGGTCATGAAGGGAGGTACAGTCCATGGCCTCCAGTTAGTGTGGTCATGAAGGGAGATACAGTCCATGGCCTCCAGTTAGTGTGGTCATGAAGGGAGGTACAGTCCATGGCCTCCAGTTAGTGTGGTCATGAAGGGAGGTACAGTCCATGGCCTCCAGTTAGTGTGGTCATGAAGGGAGATACAGTCCGCAGCCTCCAGTTAACAGTCCATGGCCTCCACAGTCCATGGCCTCCAGTTAGTGTGGTCATGAGGGGAGATACAGTCCATGGCCTCCAGTTAAGTGGTCATGAAGGGAGGTACAGTCCATGGCCTCCAGTTAGTGTGGTCATTGTCCATGGCCTCCAGTTAGTGTGGTCATGAAGGGAGGTACAGTCCATGGCCTCCAGTTAGTGTGGTCATGAAGGGAGGTACAGTCCATGGCCTCCAGTTAGTGTGGTCATGAAGGGAGGTACAGTCCATGGCCTCCAGTTAGTGTGGTCATGAAGGGAGGTACAGTCCATGGCCTCCAGTTAGTGTTAAAATATGGGTATTTCTGGATTCTAGAAGCCGATTTTTCACACAAGTTGGTCAAAAGTAAGTAATGTGCAGTACACCTCCATACACAGATAGACAAGATATATATTCAGTAAAATAATCATACAAGTTTACAATTGTTTCAACATATATATATATACATAAAGCAAGCATACAGTGTGCATAAAATGTGCAGATATACAATTTCCAACGTATCTGGACAGTGCAGGTTTACAAACAATGCTAAACAGTAAGGTAATATTTATATATGCTTAAATAAAATTACTCAATTATGAAATTATCTGCAGGACGAGTTAGACGACATCAGCTCCATCTTGGGGACGAAAGTTGCCAGACACCAGCCGTCCATCTTGTCTGTCTGTGTATATTTCCTAATAATTAAAGATCTTTGTTGCCATTATGGAAGTTGACTGGCAGGAAGGAGGAGGTGGTGACGAGGATTAATTTTGATTTTATTCAGAAGACTTCAGTTCAAACTTTCCTCAACAAAGGTACATGAGGTAAGTCTTAAGTGAAATATGATGTTTAACTTGGCGGTAAAGTTTCAGGAGAACTTAGTCAGCTTAACAGTGAATTTACAAAACATTTTCTATAAAGGATTTGTTTCACAGTTTATTATGCATTAATGAACAACAATGACTTAACCTGAGAGTAAAGTATCATTAAATATTTTTTGCCGCCCTGTCATTAAACTTTTCAAGATTCTAGATTATAAAGTTTTTATTCCTAAACCCAGAAATATTATCTTTAAAAGTTACTTAATGTGTAATACGCAGAAGAATTATTGTCTGGCCATTGTGTACAGTTGTTTGTGTCTTGAGGTGAGGCAGCCTGTCTGTCTCGATGTGTTATAATTAATTTAGGTGTCTGGACTGGGTAATTAGTGAGGTTCATGTCATCTGTAAATTAATTAGTAACCAGGAAGGTGGTCAGATGGTCTTATTTATGTCCGGTACAAGTTTAGTGAGATTCTAAGAGGCTTTTAAGTTCAAATATCATCTTTTTGCCGCCTGATAATGATTAGAAGACTAAAACCAACAATTCTGGAAAATTTCATGTTAAAACTAAGGTTTCTAAGGGTTGATCTGGCCTTCAAAGGATCATGCTGATGTGTGTGTCATATTTCTTAATACTTCAGGTGAATAGTAAGAGGGTCCACCAGACGTCCACCTCACAATGTCAGACTCGAGTTGGACACTTGGTTCATTAGAATTGTTGAGAATAATGTTTCACCAGATTGCTCCTTTACATTTACTTAAACTTACTATTAACAAGTACTGCAGTTCATCTTGATGTGATTAAATGTTCTTATACTCTGAGTTCTATTATGCAGTGGTCTTAAAATTATGCAGATTTTATATTTGTTGAAAATATTTACCACAATACAGTCGCTCAAAACTATCTTTGCTAGTTATTGACGAGACGAGATACCCTCTGCCGATTTTTCATATAAAATAATTTTTAAAATGCTGCGCCTTTACTGTGTTATGTAGTGGACACTGTCGTAGTTTGGGCAAATGTGTTAAAAGGTGGTTATTTCTGAATTAAACCTAACCTAACCTTAGTTGATAAGACAAATAAGCAGCAGAAGCACTGTTAGAAGACCGCACCAACCTAACTTCTTAGCCATGGGGCTCCGCCCCTCAGAACCCCGGCATTTTAAACAGAAATTTTTATTTTTATTTTTTGTGGACGTGAGAGAAGCCGCACGGACGGAGTGGTTTATAAATTTACACCGAGCGTAGGTATATCGGGTGTCGACCGGGGCACCTTTCCGATTTAATGCTGTATAAGATGAAGTAGTGCCGCTAATGTGAGCCTAGGGATCACGCATGGGAGACGCTCACCTGTACTAGAGTTATGTGGTAACACTCAGTAGCCCTCTGTCAAGGTTACTGACTCCACCACAAACTGGGATTTCAAAATCAGGTTTTCCTTTGTGGCTGAGGTGAGGGAGTGAAATGACTTGGACCCTTCCTTGTCCCCTAAGCTTAACTCCAGAAAGCTAGTTCAGGGTTTGAGAACCTAGTCATCTGGAAGGTTATTGGGCAAAGACTAACCCAACCGATACATGAACGCGTCAGAGGTTATTGCTCATTTTCTGTTCCACCGAACCCTGGAGTCTTGATACTTTTTGGCTGTACTGTACCTCTTTACTTGGTCTTTCAAGTCGGAGAGTGAGCTGCTCATTATAGTGTTCAACCTTACACAGATCTGAAAGGACAGTATATCTGCCACTGGATTGAAAGAACTCCCTAAACATTACACTTGTCTTGATCTTGGGTCACCAGACTCCTTTTGCCTACAGCCATTAAAAGAGATTTCATTCTAAATTCCACTTTCTTGTGTATATACTGCTTCTGTTGGGACAAATATAATTCATGTCAGGCTTTGCCCCTGTAACGGGCCGAGTTTTCTCTTTTCAATAATTTACCATCCAGCTACTGTTTTCTGTAGTATTCTATTTACTCATATACTTATTTGTTCTGTGTAGCATTCCTCCAATGAGTACCCTGTTTAATATACTTATTCTCCTTCCATTCTTTACATATATATTTATCTTATATGTTCTTACTTATATTCTTATATGTTCTTTACCTCTATATACCTTATATTCTAATATATTCTTATATAAGTAACTCTTATGCTTCTCTACTTATGTTTTCCAAGTCAAGGTTCTTTCTTTTCATTTCCTTTCATATAGATTGTATTCTCAGTTTCAATGTTTTTACCTTTCTGAAGTATACTTTGTTTTATGTCTTTCTTATACATGGGTTAGTCTGGGGAACCATGTTATTCGTTGTATAACACTTTTTATACTTACTCACATGCCTATACATCTACCACACTACCCAAAACCCTTCCATGAGTTCTGTTATATAATGAAAAGTCTGGGTGGTGGCAGCTACCCCTTGTAAGTATAAAAAGTGTTATACAACGAATAACATGGTTCCCCAGACTAACCCATGTATAAGAAAGACATAAAACAAAGTATACTTCAGAAAGGTAAAAACATTGAAACTGAGAATACAATCTATATGAAAGGAAATGAAAAGAAAGAACCTTGACTTGGAAAACATAAGTAGAGAAGCATAAGAGTTACTTATATAAGAATATATTAGAATATAAGGTATATAGAGGTAAAGAACATATAAGAATATAAGTAAGAACATATAAGATAAATATATATGTAAAGAATGGAAGGAGAATAAGTATATTAAACAGGGTACTCATTGGAGGAATGCTACACAGAACAAATAAGTATATGAGTAAATAGAATACTACAGAAAACAGTAGCTGGATGGTAAATTATTGAAAAGAGAAAACTCGGCCCGTTACAAATGGTGGCAGCGGTGGGATAACAGGGGACTGAGGCGTCTTGAAGTGATGAGAAAACGGACTCCTCAGATGGAGGACTCAAACTAAAAGCAGAGGTACATGTTTTGTGGGCTATTGAGCGTAATATGAATCATTTGATTTTGGCGTTAACTGACGTGTACGACCATGGTCGTTACACCCCAATTATGGGAATTATATACTGTATATTGTTTATTTCCTTCATTGCTTGAGAATATTGATGCTAAAAATATCAATTCCTTTCAGCTGTGTTGAAGATTCTGAAGATGAACTGTGACCAAACATGTATGACAGAAATGAACTACATTATACAGTTACGTACTGAGAGTCAAGTGGGGACAATAAAGTGTATACTGTACACTTCAGGAAGTTGACTATTGATGAAAGTTAGCAACTATACTGTATGCAAGATAGATATACAGTATTAAGAACAGGGGAGAAGGATGTTATTGTGGAAAATACTAAGAGTTCTACAAGTGCAGAATAATGATCATAAGAGTGGTTTTGTATCAGCAGTAAGAGTGGAAGTTACTGATAAAAGAGCTATACTGTAGTGTGAAATTTAAGTCTATGAAAAGGCTACAATATCTGTTGTTTGTATTTTAATAAGAATTCTTTCCATTTTATCAACTTGTATTAAAAATTTAACAGTTATGAATGTGCAGCAGAAAAGAGCTGGTACTGGTGGTGACAGCGACCACTCAGCTTGGACTAAAATCAAGAAAATTGCTGTTATTAGTAAGAGAACAATAAACAGCACACAGAAAAATGAAGCAATATCCTTGAGTGGTACAGGAAGTCAAGTTTGTCTTACAAGCTGTAGAAGTAAAGAAATAATTACACCTAACTGTTCTGATGGTGCAGGGAAGGAGGACTCTGTCTGTCCCCTGAGTGATGATCATTTTCTGAACAGAATGAAAGAAGTTAGTTATCTCGGTTCTGATAAAGTTTTGCTTGTGAAGGTAACGAAAAACAGGAATGACACTGATGGTATTAAAGGCAAGTCATTATCACCACTGTTACAAGAAGAGAAATATTCACTGGAACATTTTGGGAAGAGAGTTAAGTTGACCTCTAAAAGAAAATCAAATGAAGAGAGCAAAATAAATGTTACTAGACTGGAGAGGAGAGAGCCAGACAGTGTAAGAGTCAGGAGGGTGATGTATGTTGATAAAGTAGATGTGAGTGTAGGTGATGACACTGTTAATCTTGTCAACCATAGTCAGACCAGTCATGAAGCAAACCGTCTAGTACGCAAGATTGTCCCCATCACCTTGGGTAACTACAAGGAATCTCTCGGTCAGCCCATCCTGAAACAGAGATCACAAAATTCCTCGCTCTCTGCCAGTTCTTGTGATGCTACAGTAACTAAACCTGTTATTAGCATTAGTAACATGATAACAAAAAAGAAGGGGGCTGGTGAAGGCTGTCTTAAATATATACCAGTATGTACTCAGTCTGGTTCAAATAGTTTGGCAGTTTCTGAAGTTGTTGCTTTTAGTAACAAGAAAAAAATCCTTCCTGGGCCTTCCTACGAGATGCTTAACACTTCACATCAGTTGCCAGAGAGTACAAGTGTGTTGGATGAGAATTTGAGAGAATCAAATGAGGGAATATATCTCAATGAGGGTTGTAACACTAAAGAGATGCAAGAAAAATCTGCATCATTGTATTTCTCGGAGGAAGAAGCCACCTCAGAAATGTACACATTGAATAATGATAAAAGGAAGACTAATGATCAAAATGAATATAGTAGTTTGAGTGAGGTAAGCAGTGAGCCTCTCGGGGGGTGGCTGTATACACCTGACAACAGCCAGGACGCTGTTGACAGTCTCCTGGAGGATCTCTATGATGGCCAAGATCCGGATAAACCTTTTCCAGATATTGATAACCTGGACTGTTTTATTCCTCTCACAGAAGAGAAAAACTCCACATTTCAAGATTTAACCACAAGTACCCTGGACAAATGTTTGGAGGAGACTATTTTAAACTCTCCAAATACTAGTTTAGTTGAGTTCATGAATTCCTCTCAGACACCCACCCAATTTGTGGTAGATGGAGAGAGCTTGAAAAAGAATTCCCAAGGATCACCAGACTTTACAGAACTCATTTTTAAATCTATGAACCAAGTAAGCAGTAAAACAGATGTAGTGTTGCAAGAAGACTTCTCTCTGCAACCACAAGTTTACTCTTCACCACTAAGGTCCCTCAGTCATGGTAACACCAGCCATGAATGTCCCTTAAACAACATACGTGATCTGATCTGTGATAGTCTGTCCACGTCCACAGGGGAGAACAAGAAAGGTCTATTTACCGACTATAATCAACTACTAATGGGGGCTTCTGAAGAATTATGTGCACCAGTTGGCCATAGTACAAATATAACTGTGGGAGAAGCAGTTAATGTTACTAGTAGTAGTTTTTCATCCAGTAATCCTCCCTCTAATGCTTCACACTTTGAGGAAAATATGTTGCTTCAGTCTCATATAAATGAAACTGATTCTAACTCGTTACTTAAAATGAACAGAATATCGCGAGTTGATGGTTGTGAAGCAGTTGGTCCATCATGCGAGTCCAGTAGTGAGGTGGTGTGGATCCTCCAGACACCTAAACCATCCTTGGCACCTCTCTCTGGACTGTATCTCGATAAAAATGAAGTTAGCATAGAAAATGAGGCACAGTGTAACAGCCGGCTGCCAGAGAACCTCACTAACAAAGAAACATATGTAGACATTAATCAGAGCAGTTTAGTGAATCATTGCCGAAATGTTGTTGACACTAACACTTCAACAAACCCATTAGGATTGAACCAGGAAGGTAACAGCATCAAGAAATTGGACCAAACTTCCCTCTTAGACATGACCACGATGCAACCTAGTCGCTTGAACATCCCAGACCCTTACCCCTGTGAGGTGATGACCATATGTGGGAACCTGACCACTGAAAAGTTGGACCATGTGGAAGTTCCCATGTTTACTAATTTAACTGATGATGATGATTCTAATTTTAATAATAAACACTTCTTGCCAGATGATAGTCCCATTTTAAGATATCCTGAATTAATCAGTGAAATATTAGATGTTCAACGGAACTGTGAACCAGCTCACTTGAACCAGCAGGGTTGTAGCTCAGGTAACATGAGAACTACTGACAGCAATAAAGAGGTGAAGAGCTTGGAGGCAGCAACTCTATCAGAAGAACCCAGCAGTTCGGGTGTTAATAGTCCAAGTTATTTCAATGATTTACTCGATTCTTTTTTGCAAGAGGTTGAAGAAAGTAACACAGTCATTGATACTGAAGAAAGTAACACAGTCATTGATACTGAAGAAAGTAACACAGTCATTGATACTGAAGAAAGCAATGCAGGTATTGACAGTGATAAGAAGTCATGTGCATATACTATGAATGAAAGAAAGAATATTTGTGGCCAGAACACAGCTTACACTTTAATGTTGAACAGGGAAGGTAACAACAGTAGGTCACAAGATGTGATAGGTGATATACTAAGTGATTTAGGTGGTCTCTCAAAAGGTGAAGGTGTGGAGGTCCTTCAACATGATACAGAAGCAAACAGTGCCTCAGGACCCCTTAAAACAGTCACAGCTTCACCAGCCTCCACATCTAACAGTGTTCAGAAAGATCTATCAGACAATAATAAAGTAAAAAGAATATTAAAAAAGCAAAGAGTTATAAGACCTGTGCTGTTTAGGACTCTACCAGGTATCAGACCAATAAAGTGTGCGACTCAAGGACAAGTAGAAAATGGAAGCCAGAAACAGATGAAGCCACTCTGCTTCATTTTAGGTAAAGACAGAAGACTGCAGAATCAGGATGGGTCAAGTTGTTGGCCTCAGAGGGAGGATTTCAAACCTGAGCATTATGTTGTACCAAGAAAGAGAAGTACCTGTAGTTCTAAAGATGGAAAACAGTTAGAAGATGGCGTCGTTCAAACTGTGGTAAGCTCTACTCCAAGAGTACCTCCTGAAGCCTGTGGGGTGACGAGTAGTGTGGCTACAGCTGTGACAAAACTGAAGGTCCAGGATAGTTCAACTGAAGGAAAAAGCTTTGTTTTACCAGTTGGGAAGACTGGCTTAAGCATCAGTATACCAATAAATACCCCTACCAATATCCCATCATTCTTCGCTTCGGCCAACCTAAAAAGTTGCACTCCCTCAATCCCCAGTCCCACGACCGTTCTTCCCTGCATAGAGAAAGGTCCCGCTGAGGCTGCTAAAATTACAACTTCAATCGATTCCCAGAGCCCTGCCTTAGTGACCAACATTCCTCAAGGAAAAAAGGCTGTATTTGAGCACCAGGATACAAGAAAAACTATTGTCCCAACCACAGTGTTCACAGTTGGTGGCACAGCCCCAGCTATGTACCAAGTGTCCATCCCGCAGAGTTTTCCCACAGAATCATTCTATATGATGATTCCAACTAGCACTTGTTCACAGCTTGAATCTGGATCTAGTACACCATTAAATACACCAATAGTTCCCAGTATTTTGCCTCGGCTCATGTCTACACAGCCATGTAGCAATAATCCTGTAGTGCCAACTCCAGTAAACAATTGTAGTACTGGGAAACAACTTGTCACAAAGTACTGCCTGAAGAGCTATGTTCATCCAATTGCTCCCAAAACCCAACAAGTAAATTCTGTTTCATATGTGAGTGCAAAGGGTCCTATTCTTCTTAACACTGCAACCTCAGAACCAGTAAAAATTTTGATCAACACCCAGCCAAGTATTATTAATGATATAAACTGCTACTCACTGTCACCTGAGAATGGAAGGTCCAGTGTTGAAACTTCCGGCAGTAAGCCACGCTTGAAGTCTGAATATGTTCACAGTCTCCAGCAGAAGTTATTGAAGAAAAAACCCAACTCTGACTCTTTTAAAAATAAGTTTAATAAAAGTAGACTCCTCAGAGATGAACTGCAGCATCACTTCCCTGATATACCCGAGTCCATTCTTAAATTACTTAATCTTCCACCTAAGGCTATTTGCCGTGGTTACTTTAATCTCAGGGACCTGAAGACTCTACATACACAAGCACTGACGCTGCGTCTAAGTGTCACTCTTAGAGACCACATCAGTGTTTGTAAGCTCCATAACTGCCCAACGTGCATTGAATTCCTTCGGCAGAAAAAAGTTCTATCGTCAATAGAAAGAGAGAAAGCTTTAGCTTCAAAATTAAGAATCAAAAGTGGAAGAGGACGTTCAAGAGGCCGAGGTGGCAGGAGAGGTCGAGATGAACCACCACATACCTACTTGGCTCCTTCAAAAAGGAAACTTGAGGATGTCTCCTGTAATATTAACAACAGCATAAATATGAAAATATCCAGAGCAGATAAAGCAATTGAAAACCCTGACTCGGTGAGCAAAAGTTCTCATATGGACAAGTATTTGTGCAGAAGGATAAGAGTGAGACGATCAAACTCAGAATCAGACATTCATGTCCTGCTAAACACACATCCTCAGAAGACTGATGAAGTTCATAGTTGTGATGATTCTTGCCTTGGGCTGCACCACACCCTCAGAGACTCTCACAGTGAAAAGTGGTTAAGAACTGAAAAGGAAAATTCAAGTAGAAATAGCAAAATTTTAACTAAAAGAAAGTTTGTAATCACTGCTGAGAATAGATGGAAAAAGTTTCAGTGTGATAACATGCTGAAAACTGCAGCCCAGGATTTACTGCTGAAAAAACAACTAGAGCAAGGTAAATATTTACTGTTGGTTTAATTTTTTTTAATGTTATTGAGATGAATTACATTTACCATACCATAAGGGTCCTCATGACCTGTAGGATCTACCCCTGCTATGTGCCCAAGCTTGATTTAGTCCTTGTTTACTCCTCTACAATCCTCACCCAACTGAACGAGGATTTCAGTCCTCGATCTAGTGGTTGTTTCAGTGGACCATTCAGGATTCCTGTTCGTCCTTAAATGCCATCCATCACCAGCGGAAGTTACATGTTCCTTACTGTCCATTTTTGTGCATAATGAGGTGGGGGGGTGAATCCTTAGTTACTGATCAGGTAAGAGATAAGAAACTCTAACTCAGGATAGCTCACTAGCCAGGTGGTGTAGCTGCTGCAAAAAATGTGTCCGCACCCTACGTCAAGTGTCTTGGGAAAGATGATGAGTTGATCATCTTATTAAGTAAAACATTGTTAACTTATACAAGAGATTTTTGTGAATGAGTAAAGATTTTCTATTGTGATCCACCATTCATTGGAAGATCAAAAGTATGGTGAGGACATAGTCATACCGTGGCCTTTTTATTTTTATTTATTTATTTATTTTCATAGCATCATTTTCTCCTCAGTGTATTTTTCTAGAGCTCACCAGGTGGCAGCAGAGGTGAATTATTTTGTATAGCATCCCCACCATTAGAATATCGTCTGTCGTGGCAGAAACAGTGATACGGATATCCACATTTATCCCAAAACTAACATTAGTAAAGGAGCATAGGGCTATTTTATAACGGGTATTGGGGTATTTTATAACAGACAGGGCTATTTTATAACTGGTACTGTATTGGGCTATATTTTAACAGGTGCTTATACGATAATGCTTATTTTTTATACTGCACTGTATATATTATTTAAAACTCAAAGAATGAACTGTATTTTGGCCTAAGTTCCAGGTGTAATAATCGTGAAACTTTCCATTTTTTCTTCTTTTTCTAGATTTTGTGGCTTTTGCTGAGGAGGCTGTGAGTGAGAAGAGCCCAAAGCAGTGTGGTGCTTCTACCCTTACAACCTTGCACTTTAACCTCCATGCTTTATATATTGGACCTTTAAACTTAGCAGCCAAGTGTAATCCTATCTTCCATCCCAAGCTTCATGTCATTTATTCTGCCAGGTACTGTATGCTCCTTCATCACCATCAGCATTAGGTAAAATATCAACATTATCACCATCCTCATCGCAATTTGCCGACAGATTGTTTACTATAAGTTAAACCTTTGTGCTATTTAATATTTTATTAAATTGAAAGTTACATCCACAGAAAATTTGTTTACGAGTTTGTAATCTGGCCGCACCAAGAGAAGCAGGAGGAGGAAGGAGAGGGAGAGGTTGTGGTGTTAGAGTCTGCTGGTGGTATTACTGCCCCACATCTCTCCCTCACTCTGAACATCCCCTTCAGCACCCTACAGGCTATTGCTATCACTTCTAACAAGGTAATAAATACTCGGCAGTTGTGGTAAATAGTTCTGAACTAATGTTGGATTTATTACTAGGGATTATGTATGATGAGTGAGTATACTGTACACATAAGATATTTCGTTGTTTAAGGAAGGAGGCAGTGATGGTCTTGGGAAATAGAGAATTTTTAGATGAAGATGGATAAGCTTGTGTAAGTGTGAAGACTATATATACAAAAACAGCAGCAGAAGAGTGTTAAGTAACTTTTAAGGACTCGTGGACTTGTTCCATTTAAAAAAGTTTAATTTTACCTGGACTTTGTGTCATAACTTTTACTTAAATTATCACTTGTGTGTGTCTATGGCTTTTAAAAGTATGGTACATATTGAATATTTAATTACAGTGATTTTAATAATTTAATTTTTTTTAGGTACAGGTGGTGGTGAATACTGTTCCTTCAATACAAGTAATATGTAGGAAGGAAGCATCAGGTGGCATGCTGTGTGAGAGTGGTACTCTTTCACCAGCTCATCATGACTACCTGGCACATCTGAAGGCTGCACTGTCTGTCTGTCCACTTCATAATGTAAGTTATTGTTATACAGTCATCAACAGTTAAATGGTTGAGCTTATTTCTTTTATATCAACATTATCGTCTTAAAAGTAATGATAAAATATACAGGTTTGCATTATTTATCTCTGTGACTTCTGCTACTGCCCTTATGTGTGCAGCAAATATTTCTTAAACTTTCTATGTCTCGTAACACTGAATGGATAGAAAGTTCTTCCAAGGTTCCACAATTCACTGTTAGAGTGTGATGCCTTCTCTGTGTGAGGAGCTCCTCAGTTTAACTATCATGGTGTTTTAACATCTTAAACATCTCAATCATGTCACCAAGAAGTCTCTTGTTTGTCAACTTTGGGATAATTACTTTTGAAGTGATCAGGACCATGACATGGTAGTTACTCCTAAAAACTAACCATCTCATTATAGCTTTGATCATTGAAAAGGTTCTCAATTGACATGACAATGTGATTTACCATTTATAAATATGAGACCCAAACTACTGTAGTCACTACATTGAGATTTAAGTTTAATCTTCACAAATCTTTGAAATTAGGTATAACCATATTAATACATGGCTGTCCTTCCATGTATAAAGTGTAGCCTTGTATTGTAGACTATATCAACAATATGTATGAACAACAGGGATGTGAAATTTTGATGTTTTGTTTATTCAATTAGTTGGTGTTGCTGGATCGAGGAAGAGGTGTTAGCCTACATGATGGGCTGTGTGGGTTTTCTACATGGTTCAGTCATAAGCTGTCACAACACTTGTGTGTTGAGGAAGGTCACATCCCATCTTGGCTTCTTGCACCTCATTTGGATACTAGCGTTGAACTTCCTGAGCTCTCAAGCGCTGCACTTACAGGTTGATAAATGTTTGAGTCTTGTTGAAATTCAAGAGCTATTCATTTTTTAGTACTCTATATTTACTTGGCAGTACATCTTAAAAAGTATGTTAGAGTTGTTTAAAAATTTGTTTTTATGCTGCCATAGATATAAACATGTGTTGGACACTTCTCGAGTAATTTCAAGACTAAATGCAATCTTCATTTTCTAGGTGAAGGTGACACACTGCAAGCAAGGACAAACTCTCATCAACAGTGTACAAGTCAAGAATGTTCCCGTCAGCCCTGCAGAGACCTGTCTCATGACACTAAATCATGTGATAATCAGCAGTGTTGTAACCAGTCGTTTGAATCTAAAGCAATTACAAGTAATATGGAGACCTCTAAGGTGTACAATAAAACCATTTTGGCAGCAGCTCCTGCAAGTGTAGACAGTAAGGTGAAAGTTGTAGAGAGAGAACATGGTGCACCTGAGAGTCTCGGCAGCAGTAATTGTGATGGAAAGTTTTCAACCAAAAACTCATTTCTAGGTGACCAGCGTGACACCATTGTGTCTTCAAATCGTCGAAACCATTTCTTAGACTCTGAGAGTCATGATTTGCATCGGGTTTTTATTGAAGAGAAGACCAAGCAAGGCCATGCATTAAGGGGAAACTTGTTGCAAGGTGTTGATCATGGTAATGAGAACCCCACCAGTGATCCATCTTCTCTTACAATGCTTCTTAATTCTGCCGTGGAGCCGCAGGTATGTTGTGATTACTGTACTTATATTTATTTATATAACCCAGCAGTGTATAGTGTACCCATCATGCTTACTGGCTGTGACCTAGACTTGGACTCTTAACACTGGTCCTAATACACCTGTTACAACCATTACCCTAAAAGAGGAAGAAGCAGTGAGTCTTGGTGCTGCAACAGTTGGCACACACACACACACACACACACACACACACACACACACACGTTCCCTGGTTCCTCTTCAACTACGTTGAATTTTCGGTACTGCACCAACATTAGTATGACTGTCCCTCTGCTTGAAGTATGTTGTCCCCTGGAGAGTTTTGCTTTATGGTGGAAATAAGTCGGGCTCTAATTACTATGGTACTGAACTATTTCTAAAGTAAGGTTCAGTTTTTTATGGCCCAGTTGCCATGTTAACCAGGATTGCTTTGTGGTGCTGACCTTCCCCACTAATGACCAAGAGGTGCCTACCACAGTAACCCTTATAGGAGATAGTGCAAGAAAGGTATGTAACATTACGGAGTGTGTCAGATCTGTTATGATTCCTTCCTGCAGCTTTTAGTTATCTTTCATGTGAGGCTCAGTAGCTTTGCAGTTTTAATTGGCCACCTCATCACTTTTCTATCTTGCTTTAGTGACAAGAGTCTTCTGGGCTGTTGACTGTTAATCTGGAAGTCATCCTGAAAATCCTATTTTATACCTAAGTTGGGTACTGATGAGGTCTTCATTTGGACTGATATTTGGTACTGGGAATTCCTGTATGTGCTATAACAAACGAGGAGCACCACACGAGGTGTCAATACTTTCGAGTTAGCCCAACCTCAAACCAAGACAGACAAGCGCCAATGCCGGAAAGACTCTGCCGCCGCCTCTCTGCACTAGATGGAGCCATCCACATGTGCGACATCTGTGAACGACCCTTCCGGTCCATATCGGCCTCTTTAGTCACCTTAAAACTCACCAACGAAGGTGACATCCTTAATAACCCATTTCATTGTATCATGGCTAGATGATCATCACACTTGATTCTGAGTGACAGCAAAGTAGTAGTAGTAGTAGTGTGTGTGCGGGCGCACACAAGCATCTGTAACACACAGGTTTACATTTCTCTCAGCTGTAATTGATAAGCCTCTACCTCCCAAACTGTTCTCTGTGGACTAGGGTTTTGATGGGAGAGTTATGTGTTGAGGGTTACCCATAGACTTGATAGGTAGAAGCACATCTTGTTCTGACTTGTTTATAAATTGGGATTTGCAGTATTAATTTTTGATCTTCAAGTAATTACTGTACCTCAGAATACTGTACAGTACATTATATGAAGCCACCTGTAACTGCTTACATACCTTTCTTACCTTAAATATTAATTGTGATCTAATATTTATCAATACTGTGTTTTCACCAGAAAATGTTGCATCCTGTCCCCTTCACTCCTGCCCTTCAGTTTCCAATGGCACCTTACCTGCAGAAGGGATGCAACTGTAAAGAAACATGTCGGTAAGTACCTTCTACGTATTGACATGAAAACAAAAATTTTCAGACTGAATTATGCAAATTAACTGGATAGATCTAAGGGTCTCTATTGCCATAATGACCAAGCCTCACCACCTCCAAGTATAGTGAAGGAAAAACAGATTATTAAACTTGACTCATCTTATAAAGGTACCACTCTAGTTGTTGTGCTCACAAGAATTAAGACAGATGAGTGGACACACATGCATGGGGACTATTTATTGTCTAACTGACTTTGGATTATGAGGTACCATCTGAGGAAAGGTGTAAGCCAGAATTGGTTGACCTCCAAGTCAGGCAGCTCAGACATCCTCTCCTCTTCCTGAGTTTTCTTGGCTTTGCTGGCTTGAAATTGAACAAGATGGTGGAGCCTTCTAGCCATTTTGATGGGGAGGTGGGCATTGATATGTATACCTTTGGAGTTAACATATCATCCCTGGTTATTGACCGAGGGTTGTTGAGGCTTAAACATTCCCATTGGAAACGTTGATATTACGAGAGGCCAGAAATAAAGGATTTCTAGTCCTTTACTTTTTGTATTGACAAGTTGTGGAGAAAGTTTTGTTTAAGGAAAATATTGTTTGTTCTGTTCATAGATGTGCTTGTGTTCACACTTGAGAAATTGTGTATATATTAAAATTTTTCTTCCTTCCCTACCGTGCAGCATAATGGACTGTCCTTGTGCACGAGCTGGGGCACTGTGTAATACTCAACAGACCTGTTTATGTAAGGAATGTGACAACCCTCTCAACATTCTGCACACACTTGGCCTGGACGTACACACTGCACGAGTTGATGAATGTCTGATGCAGAACTTGTACAGCTATGGTGTAAGTGTTGATTAATTGTAGTGAATGTAGTTAAGTTATTGGTATCGAGTCTTATTGATGTGAGAGCAGTAAGGTTCTTATTCATCTTATCAAAAGTTGATCATATTAACTCTAGTATTGTACAGTACATATTTCTGTGCTCTCTCTTGTATACCCCATGGCAATAAACTACAGTTTAAGTTATGACACCAAGAGAGTGGTACTATGTCCCTTACTGTTAACTTAGTAATTATCCATTTGAGTCATCACTTTTATACAGTATGTCATTTGTTTACAAATATTCAGTTCAGTACAGTATTACAATACTTCCAGTGTGTGTTTGACTACAAGTGCTGGGTAATATAGTTCAAAAGAATATGTTTTAGTATTAAGTCATAATGCCAGGGACTCTGTGTATCTCACACTAAATGTTCTTTCCATTATTAGCTACAGTATAACTCATAATGCTAAATAATCCATTATATTGGATTTTATTGTACTGCAGTAACAGTTGTAGTACAGTACTTTACACTGTATATTATTTAGTGTACTATAGATGGTAAATAATGATGGGAGAGGTGGACATCCCTCACAACAAGACCACCAAGTGAGTTTTGGGCACAAACTGTGAGGCTGTAGAGAGACCTTTACTGTGTAGGGAAAAGGTTCCCTCTGTTAACTTGACTTGTTGATACAAATCTTGTATAACTGGGGGTTTACTGTACAGTACTCTTACTTATTTTGTGGATATGAGGAATGAGTGAGACAATATTGTTCACTGTAGACAATCTTTGGTTTATGCAATACTGGTCTTACAGGTGACTCGCTTGTATTCTCTACTGGTGTCACAAGTTATTCTTCCTTGCTGTGGAGCCACACCAGAGCTGTTACACATTATGCCTGGCACTGTGATGTGTAACTGGTGTGGCATGGCAGTGTGCTACTCGTGGTGTACTCACCATATTCACATGCAGTCTCTTTCTCCTCGAAACCACTGCCTTGTTTGCTGCTCCTGTCGACCAACTCTTCATACTCACTGCCAGGTATATTTTTGCAACTTTTATTTTATGGCCGATGGGTCAGTGATGTCATGATTCCCAACCTGGACAATTGTCTCTCTTAAAAACTTTTGCCACCCTACTTACTGCAGATGATTACCTTAGATAAGTTTATACAATATTGGGTTTGGTTAAGTTGATTTAGGTTACAGAGTGTATCAGTTACAGCACTAAAGAGTGAAAGGCAACAAATACTGGATGAGAGTGAACAGTATCTCTTATGAATCTGGCCATCCTGGTCCATATGTACTAGGGTGTGTAAGAGGTAGGGGTGGACCTTCCCTTGATTATTCTTATATGAATTTATAAAAATAAATAAATAAAATATAAATATCATGTCGCTCAGTCCTGTGTCCATACAAAGAGATATATATTGTTCAGTATATTCCTTCATTTTCAGAAGTGTCAACTATGCACACCATCAAGCCAAGGAATGTGTACTGAATGTGGAACACTCAAGATGTTTTGATTCACAACTACTGGTAGGAATTGTGTTGTGATTATCTGCTGAAAATTATTATGTGAATGAAGAAATAGTTTTAGTTCACATCATTTCATTTTTGTATTACAATACTTCGATTTTCTCGTTTCCCTTCTGTTTTGATGTTATTGTAAAAGTATTGTTTAGTATATTATTAATTTGAACATTATTTTGGAGTGTATAGAGTCCATCAGAGTATTGATGTGGAAATGAGTGATTTGTTTGTGATTTAAATATGACATTGTTAAGAGTGGCCAGGTCAACTTCACCTCATTTATATGTTATTATTGGAGTGGTATTGGTGTTATAACCTTGAAGTTTGATAGGAATTATCGTTATTTTTTTTTTATTATTATTATTATTTATTGGGCACTCCCCTACAGCCTTGGGCAAGGTGAAGCGCAGAAGCGTTTACAGTGCCCAACAGGGAAGCATGCTAAGTTCATGCTTGCCTTTATGTCTAATGAGTTAAGGGCGTAGAAGCCTGAAGAGTCAAGGGTATAGAAACCTGGAGAGTCAATGGTTTATGTCATCAAGTTATTGGAAGCTCCAACAACTTGTCCCTGAATTCGAATGCGCAACTTTCGATTTACACCAGGTACCTACTTTACTGCTTGGTGAACAGGGACTAATGGGGGCTAGGAAGTATGTCCAAACAACTTCCACCGGCCCGGGAATCGAACCCGTGACATCTCGCTTGCGAAGGCAAGAGCGGTACCACTCTACCACCAGCACCCCCGAATTCATTACTGTTCAAAGATGTGCTTGTTGAGGTTAAAGGTCAAGGTCATGGCTGGCTGATTGGTCTACACATTTGCAAATTTCAGGCTATCTCATGTTTTGGGGGAATTCTTCAAGTATGATACCAGTACATTTATTCAGACATTCAGTATACAGTAATGGGTAAAATATGAACTTAGGTTAACACACAGGCTGGTGTTAAAGATGTCTATGGTATTTCTAATGAATACAAGTAATATTTGGATTTGAGGGAGAGGACTGCTAGAATGTGAACAGTTCTTGTATGACTGATGTGATGCACAAGGAACATGAGTGAAGGAAGATACTTACTGTTAACTGTTTTGAAGTGAAGCACTGTACTGTACTTTACTGTACAGGTAATTTACTTATAAATTGATGGAATGTGACCACAGTTACAGCACATGAAAACGAATGTGGGTGTAGAAGACTTGAAATTAAACCAAAGAGGAAAAATGAAGAGATAATGTAAAGGATCACAATAAGTGTGAAGTAAAACTGATGAACAAGTGTTTGGTGTCCAACAGACCTTGGTTAAAATCTTTAGCTGGATAAAATTAATGAGAAATTACTAGCTATGATTAAATTTATATACTTACGTAGACAAACAGATTGTGTGTTAAAGAATTTTTGAGTGTATTCCAGTTACAGGTATATGAAAATTATCATTATAAAGGAAAACCAAATATTTTTGCTACATGACTGTGTTTACTGATAAAGTGCAGCTACTGTATAAAGCAACTCATAGATGCTGCTGTTTCTTTAAAGTTCATGTTGATTTTTGTGTACTGTACTTCGTTGTTACCTTAATAGAAAAGTTTATATACTGTATTCATTGGGAGGGAAACATGGAAAATACTCCATCAGAAGTCATTTTGTTTCTTTTGCTTACCAATTCCTACTTTTTACTTTAATGAGAAGCTTTATATTACTGTACTGTAGTTTATGAGTAACCTGAATACATTAAACTAATTTTGTTTTGTTCAGTAAATGTTACTGAAGTTTAAATGCAAATTTATTTTATCTATTTTTGTATGTTTCTACATTAAAGTTTGAACAAATTACTTTATTTCAATTTAACATTTGCCATTAGTCAGCTTCTTACCATGTCAGGTAGAAGGATAACTCTGTGTTACATGCTGTTGACAAGTGCTGTACTAGTCAGCAGCCACACGTGGGCCTCTCTTAATGTACCCGAGCAGGATCCAGCAATGATCAAGCTTAGATTTAGAGAAGTTTATGCTTGGTACTGTTCCAACATTGGCAGGTTATTCCAGGAATTTACAACTCCTATTCCCAAAAAAGTTAGTTGTAACAACTTTCTATATACTGTACACTGATCATTTCTTTCCTCAGTTGAGTGTCCATATCTGGAGCTGGCAGAAGCCTGCCCCACTAGAAGTCACAGCTTAAGGTTGAAGAAGCCACAAGTTCAAAAATTTGTCAGGGCAAACTTTTTCGGAGTGAGGGTTGTGAACTCTTGGAACAATCTGCCAAAGAGCATTGTGACGGCACCGAGTTCGAGCTCATTCAAGACCAGACATGACCAACACTGGCTCAGGTACAGATATATCCTGGAACCAGTACTGTATTTGCCAACAGTGCATAACACAGACATAACTGACCACCCAAGCAGCTAACAAGCCGATCAGTGGCGAAGAGGATGAAGTATTAACTTGAGCCTGTAAACTCTAGGTGAAGTAGCCATCTGCTGATATCAAATGCATACCTTACTTTGCTCTACTTTATCCTCTTCATCACTGATCACCCTGTTAGCCACTTGGGGGGGGGGGCCAGGTTGTCTTGTCTCTGTTGACAAGTAGTACAGCTTTATCAACACCAAATGTTTTATCACCTAAGAATCAACATTTCAGGTGGAACAAGGTGGTGTGGAGGTTCTTCAGGTGGAGCAGGCTGGGGTGGAGGTTCTTCAGGTGGAGCAGACGGGTGGAGGTTCTTCAGGTGGAGCAGACTGGGGTGGAGGTTCTTCAGGTGGAGCAGGCTGGGGGTGGAGGTTCTTCAGGTGGAGCAGGCTGGTGTGGGGTTCTTCAGGTGGAGCAGGCTGGGGGTGGAGGTTCTTCTGGAGCAGACGGGTGGAGGTTCTTCAGGTGGAGCAGACGGGTGGAGGTTCTTCAGGTGAGAGCAGATTGGGGTGGAGGTTCTTCAGGTGGAGCAGACTGGGGTGGAGGTTCTTCAGGTGGAGCAGGCTGGGGTGGAGGTTCTTCAGGTGGAGCAGGCTGGGGTGGGAGGTTCTTCAGGTGGAGCAGGCTGGGGTGGAGGTTCTTCAGGTGGAGGAGACTGGGGTGGAGGTTCTTCAGGTGGAGCAGGCTGGGGTGGAGGTTCTTCAGGTGGAGCAGACTGGGGTGGAGGCAGGTGGAGACTGGGGTGGAGGTTCTTTGGAGCAGACTGGGTGGAGGTTTCAGGTGGAGCAGACTGGGGTGGAGGTTCTTCAGGTGGAGCAGGCTGGGGTGGAGGTTCTTCAGGAGCAGGCTGGGGGGGTGGAGGTTCTTCAGGTGGAGCAGACTGGGGTGGAGGTTCTTCAGGTGGAGCAGACTGGGGTGGGAGGTTCTTCAGGTGGAGCAGGCTGGGGTGGAGGTTCTTCAGGTGGGAGCAGGGGTGGAGGTTCTCAGGTGGAGCAGACTGGGGTGGAGGTTCAGGTGGAGCAGACTGGGGTGGAGGTTCTTCAGGTGGAGCAGGCTGGGGTGGAGGTTCTTCAGGTGGAGCAGGCTGGGGTGGTTGAAGAAGAAAATATAAAAAAAGTAAAAATTATGGACCGTAGCAGACACACACACACACACACACACATACCAAAACACCAATATAAGACAAAATATTCCTTCAAACCCACTACAAAAACACGTCTGCTACACTGCTACAGACGGCACTTTGAACATAGCAAACACAGCCTCACACAGACATAACCACTGCAAAACACATTCCTCCACACCCTCCGCCATGACCACGAAGGATCATAAGCTTTAAAAAAAAGGTTTTAAGTTGTTTCTTAAAGACCAACTTCATGGATGCAGACAACCGATTGTACAATCTGGGTGCTGTGTAGGAAAAGGAATGGGCAGCAAAAGATACTGCTGTAGGCTCCTCAAGGCGTAAAGGATCATCACTACGCAAAATCACTCCAGAATGTGTAGTCAAAGGAATTAGTAGGTTGACCAAATAGGCTCGCCAAACATCAGCTTACTAGCCGTTTGGGCGCTCTATCCAGTGATAGTACAGAAGGAACCCAGGTACCGGGAAACCTGTGGTGTTTGGTAGTGACGGTCACACTGGATAACACCCTTCTCAAGTGTGTCTGGGCCGAGGCTCGAACCCTTGACATATTGGTGAGAGTTTAGCGCGTTACCACTACCAGACAGTTTGAACTCTGTTAGCTTTAATTGGAAGCAATGTAATTCAATCAAGAATGGGGTTGTGGGAGTCCTCGATAGAAGAGCTACAGAGAGGCTTACAACCTCGAGGACTGACTTTCAGAGTTATCTGGGTGATACAATACTGTAAATACTAATGACTATTTGGCCCTTGATTCGTAAAATGCTCGTTTGTGTCATACAAAATTATATGTGGCTGGGTGTTATGGAAGTCATGGGAAATGTAATGTAATTATCCACTTTATTAAACACTGGGTACAATCTATTTCTGTTGCACAACTGCGTCAATGACACACTATCGATTTCTAACTGTAGTACACTACAGCACGTGTAGCGTTGACTTAAGTTTATTCTAGAAAATCAGTCAGTGTTGCCAACAAAAACACTTCTTCTGTTAACTTCACTATAATTCGTTTATTGTTGTTTTATTTGTATTCCCAGTAAACTTGGTGTAAGTCGCAGTCCGGATGTTTTATGTGAGAGGAACACCTGTTACTCAACTGTGATGAATATAGCTTTTGTCAGCAAGGTGTGTAATGGAGAGGGGGCACAAAGAGTTGAAGTTTGGTTCATTTTCGGGAATGGTGGAAAAAGATGAGGCTGTCTCACCTCCCAACCGTGTCACCAGTTACTGTATACAACCGCCCACTCCTAAACGCCAAACTCATCGTAATTATTAGTGGCTGAAGGAGGACTGCTTTATGATCACGAACGAGTGTTAATATTCATCTGAGACTTGTTCTGATAACAAAGATGATAGCCGAACCTTTCTTTTGCCAACGAGTGAATGTCATTGACTACTTTCCCTGGACTAAATTTCAATACAATTAATTTCGAAGGGTTGTTTACTCTTGGGTCTGCCCAGTGTTTCTCCGTCGATGAGCCAATATAACTAAGTGTAGAAAGGTGTTCTTGGAACAAGGGTTCGCGGTCTAGCACATGAAGGGTATTTTTGTGATTGTTTAAGTGAAAGGAAGGATACATCCCAGAAGTGACTGCGGTTTACTGTACTGTTCTTTAAATCTTGATATTTACACTTTATGATAAGAATTTCTCTTGGTTAGCGAAGTTGATTATTTGTTAATTTGTTTTCAATATTTGGGCTTTCGGTCATTTGTGTGCATATATGTCTATCATGATTTAAAGAGAAGACCTCAAATATAATATAGATTAAACTACGTGATTATTGGCAACAGTGTTGGGAAGGTAGCGTGGCGTGGCCGTGGCCAGGCGCCCGACCCGACACATACACCACTGTAGTTGACGAGCTCGGTCACCATCCAGCAGTGCTCCAGCATGCGTGAGATCGTCCACCTCCAGGCCGGGCAATGTGGCAACCAAATTGGCTCAAAGGTAACGTTACGCGCTTCCGTATTGCTTGTCACTTTATCATATCCTATTCGTCACTGATCGACTCGTTAGCAGCTTGGGTGGTCGGTCACGTCTCTGTTACATACTGTTGACGAGTACTAGGCAATGGACTGGTGTGGGTTCAGAATATATCTGAATCTGCGCCAGTGTTGGTCAAGTAGTAGTTTGGTCTTGAATGAGCTCACTCCCGGATGAGTCCCAGTGCCGTCCCAACGCTTCTTGACAGGTTATTGCAACTTCAAAACAGTTTGCCATGACAGTTTTCTGAACTTGTTTTGGACACTGAGAATCGTTTATCTATGATGTCGGGTGTCAAGCTGTCCATCACCAGTCCGAGAACTCCATGTGAGGTACGAAGGGAAAGTCAGAGCCATACTGTCCCAGCGTTTGTACATTACCTTCACTTATTTACAATTCACAGTGGATTGATATCCATTTAATCTTAACTTTAATATCCGTAATATCTTAATTTAAATTGTTAATGTCGTGTGCTGTGCTGTACTTATCTAGAATACGTTCTTAAAGACCTTAGTTGATGAAGTGTAATAATATATTATAACATCAATTTTATTCTCTTCGCCACTCAACGTAAGTCAGTACCACATAAGGTCTTCTGTTTCATCAAGGGCGGAGGCCAAGGTGGACGGTGACCGGATAAAGCCCCAACGGACAAGACCCCAGTCTCATATATAAAATATAAAATAAAACACTTATGTTTAGGTTAGGTTAGTGTTGACAAATTACAACCCCGTTGGGGTTGTGTCATGGAACCAGGTGGACGACCCCTGTTATCACCACTACCCTGGCCGTGCTCCACCCCTACAAGATGGAACTATTTGCACGATATTTTATACATCTTTGCCGCAGATTTAACCATTAGCCTCGAATAGTTACTTACATAATTATCAGAAGGTATACATACCTCACATAGGAATATGCAACAAAATGCTATGGAAGACCGAGTGTTTGCTTCAGGTAAAACCGTAAAGGGTGTTATGCGTGTGAGATTGAAACAACAGTTTATTATAAGGTTTGAAGGAATGGGCGAATGTGTTGTGTTAGAAGGTATTTGGAACCTTAATGAAGATTAACCCTAAACTTATTTCACCATAATATTAACCACCCTAACGTTAAATACACCTACATCTCCCTCCCTCTCCTCAGGTAGCGTTATTAATTTTGAGGTGAAATGACCTGGTGGGGAATCTTAGGTGATTCATCTGTATAATGTGATTTAAAACCCGGGTATCCTAAATTGAACCTTGAGTTATTTTGTGTCTTGTATGTATTGGCACTAACACGCACCAGAAACTAATAACATTTCTTAGTTATTATTGTCAGGACTTTGTATTTATTTTTCTTTTAACCATCCTACGTGAAACAAAACGAGCTCAAGTCAATGAGCTCGTCAAACACTACAGCGTGAAATATGCAAGTTAACAAGGATCATTCACATTTGTATTTGTTATTTTTTTTTATCACTGGGACGCTTGGTCAACTGATCCAAAGCCTTGCACAACAGACACTCGCGCATGAGGATAAATGTGAAAACTGTACTCAAATTATTCTAATAGTACAGAATACCAATATTTACTGAAAGCTCAAAGAGGATATACAATAAAGTGCAGTACTGGGTCAACAACCAGGTGACGCTCATTGATTACTTGAAATATGTGAAGTACAGTGGGAGGTGCTTGAATCATGTTTATGACCACCCAAAAAAGAAATTGGGTTCATATTTATCGATATATTTTATACAAAATTTCAGACCCAGAGACCAGTCTTTATCAGCCAGAGGAGAGGAACCTACCCTCTTTCTCCCTCCTTGTCTCTTCTTAATAAATATTTTTTGTGAACTTTATATTTTTATGCCGACTTTAATGATTATATCCGGATGGTGTTTTACTTATTCTTAAAGCACTGATACTGAACAGCGACATTTTGCGTGGAAGTTTTGTGGAAAGTTCATCAAATTTAATTAGGATTGCCAGTATAAAAATAACCACGGTCACTGTGAGTGTAAATATAAATTCTGACGGGTCCAAAAGTGAGAAGCCAATACCCAATCGAGTTCCCGCCTATCTCGTAGTTTGAATATCATTTTGTCATTGATAAGAGTAAAAATGATACAGTATTAAAGCCCACTCACCAGTTTCAAGTGTTTTTATCAGCCGCCGAGAGCAGAGCCAGGGATATAGAGGTACGTACTGTTGTTTGTGTCAATCCACTCACTCTTCACACCCTTTGGCCAGATTAATTTCACGTGATGTGGTGACTCATGACTGGTTCTTGGAAAGTGATAAAACGTGATAATGTTAGACTTTCCATTGTTATTTGTTACTATTCCATGAAGGATTTAAGGAGTTGTAAATGCCCCAGACTAAGTGACCCTAACAAATATAAGGTATCGTTATACACTAAATATGAGTCTCGCATTTCCCCCATGGGAGTATAGTGGTCATAGTCACAACTGCTTAGTAAATGTTTCTGGGCTACTACTGTATAATCAAGTCCAGTCATGACCACATATGTTGTAGATCACACACACACCTGCTCTTACGCTGTGTTGAATATCTGTACACAAGAAACACAAGTTGATAGATAGTTAATGAAATATAAGCAATAATCCGCGTCCTGAACTATGACGGGCCGCTGACACTGAAGGCAGGATTACCAGGCATGGCGGCTGGAAGTCACTGTCATGTTGAAGAATTTACATCTACAGGAGTATTATCGAACGGTGATTTGCGTTTCATGTCATCTCAAGGACATCGTTTTAATCTGCACTTGAATCGGCTGTCCGGTGAAAATTTATTTAACTTCAAAAACATCGTAGCGGATATTATTCCCGGAACCGCAGACCTCCAGGCCAAGGTTTACTTTAATTTACTGGGAAACACTCAGCTGCCACCTTGACATTGTTGTTAGGAAACTATTACCTCACGACACAGTGATTTGAATGCTGATAAATCAATAAACCGGAGCTCGTACACGATGAGTATTACCAATACAGTTATTCACAATGACAACCTTTATTTTATATGATTCATCGAATATTGCCGTGGAGCGTGAACGGGGCTGGCAGTCACGCTGTAGAGTTTAACATTTTGAATTATTACCTGGTTTCTGTTCTTTTATACACTTGTCTATGCATAAAAATAATAGTAATTGAGGGTCTTGATGAACTTGAAGACTCGACTAAGTTATGTGAACAGTTTTAATGGTGTATGGGTCTTTCGGTAACATTACAGAGTTGATTCTTTAAGTTAATGGCAGTCTAGGTTATCAACAATGACACGCACACAGGGCAACATGACCTGTAAACCACCACGAGTTACAACAGGGAACTTGTGTCATTCTGGGTGGTGTTGATGTGATGTTGGTGCCCCTCAACTGCCAGGGTGCCATGCCACTCCGGACTCCTGGAAATGTTTTTATTTTACATCATTACAGCACAACCTCTGGGATTGGGCAGTATGAAAACCACAATTGCCGTGGTAAAATTTTCCAATATCGCTAGCGTGAGTTTTTTCTCACTGGCATCAATACTTTAATGTACTGACTAAATTTAGTTAAATTAATTTCACTTCAAAGCACATGATGCAGTTTATCAGTTCGATGGAAGAAAAAAATAACTCAGTATGAGCATTAATGTACAGTAGTTGATGGAAACCGAACAGTTGCCTTCCAAGAATTGTTTATTGTGATGTATAGTTCTAAGTCAACATTATATTTTTCTCACAATGAGAATAGTTAACAGGCCCTCAGGTTTAAAACTTTATAACAGGCTGTAGGGGCCATCCTTTTTCATTGCATTCTCCTGATTTTTATTTATTGATTACTAATGTACGTATCAGACTCCTAGCCTATGACCTTAGTTGATAAAGCCCTGACGACACCAGTTTTGCTTTTGTTTATAATACTTTTGTGCTTCAGCTGTAGTGCTGTACTAAAGTCTTTAAGCACATGCTCTAAGTAGGTACATACATTGAACAACTATTATTAGAAATTATGATGTTCATCCTATAACAAGCGGTGTATCCTAATAAATATTTACAGTGGAATTTCATCAGGGTTCATTTAAACTTGCAGAAGGAAAACTTGTCTGCCGGTAATATCAAACTTAGTATTGTGTAAGCCATTTGTTATTCGCCTATTGTTAGTTGGTAGTCATATTCTCATTTCATTTGTTCGTTGACTTTAAAGTACTTGAATATTTTCCTCCTTCGTTGACCTGCTTTCCCAGTTGTGGAAAGTACTGTAGCAGAACGTCAGAACATTCTCGTCAACAAAGTGAATTTTCCTATGTAGTCCTGAGCGGAATGTGTGACCCAGTTGAGTCGTGCAGTGCGGCAGGCAGGCAAGTGGTAGTCATGGTGAGACCTACACCACCACCGCCACAACAAAATGACTCAAATATACTGTACTGTATCTGTGAGGGTGCGGCCACCCTCCCTTCCATGGTCTAAGGAGGGCGTCTTAAAGTAGTCCCATTATGGATGTAACAAATATTTACTATATGTATCTGCACCTACGTAATTCTAACAAGATATTGTTGGACATAATATTTAATATATATTATTGTTATTATTATTAAAATATTTCTAATAACTTGCACTATATTAATTAAAACAGCAAACATATTAGGCCTATCAATTGGGTAGTATTTATTCGGATATAGGCAGCCTCCCAGTTATCAAATAGCCAATCAGATATCCAGCAGTCTCACTCAATCACCCACTCGGTCTCACAAATATCCATACTGTACGTCAATATCGGAAAAGGACGTCCCTGACCAGCGGGTGCGGTGTTTACTACGTCCCTTAGTTACCGTCAATCACAGTTTTTTAGTTTATATTAAGTCTAGCGTAGTTCGTCAATGACCAACAGGTCCTATTTAAAGTAACATATAGTGTTACTGATATGCTGGAGCTGCACCTTGAATAATTTGATTGATTTGGTGTAGAGTTGTTTGTCTTCTGTGAGTACACCAGCAGTATGTCGCCTCACGACCCTGACGCCGATATACGTCTGCTCTCACAAACCATTACCCACATTCACAAACACCCCCACACAAATGAAAATATTTGATACCATTCACAAATACAAACGTTTATAGACATATGTACTTTTGGAGTTTAATTGCAAGTCTTCTGCGATGTGTGTGTGTGTTGGGGGTCACTAGCCTACAGCAAAGTTTAAGAACGCAAAAACGACGTCATTCAAGGTTGTACAGTAAATATTAATCGATGTACAGTGTATTGCCAGAATTTCCATTACAGTATTATTAAAGGGTGTGTATTTATATTGTTTACTAAGTACAGTATTGCAATTACAACTAGGTAACGTTACGGGAGAGAATGAATGTTACTCTTGTCAGCAATGAGAGTGTAAACATGCTGATTGACGGGAGAGGTCGTTCATATTACTGCCACCACGGTACTGCCCCCCCCCCTCCTTCTCCTCCCATTCGCTTGCGACCTACTTACCCCCGAGTACCTCACTTCCAGTTTTTATATCCGACGACGACCAAAACCAAGACAAAGTTGTATTTACCACGACGGATGTGCCTTTCACCTGACATGGTAGAACTGTTAGGATTAATACCACCACACCCTGCCTCTCCTATACTACATACTTGTACTGTACTGACATTACCTTATTGCAATACACTACACCTCCACACAACTCCAGTCCATACACGCTAAAACCACCACTGCACTCACTATACCGCTATGCACCATACCTCCTTACTCACCACATTTCTTGTACAGTACGTCTATGAACATCACCTCTACAGTACATCAACACGCCACTCACACACAACACACCATCACTTAACCACCTCCTTAGTTACGGGTAAATACTAAAGTAACAACAGAGATGACAATTACTGAACCACTTTTGGGGGAGGAAGTTCCGTGCTACTATAGCGTGCGCTCTACAAAGATATCTTTAGTCTAACCTAATCTAATCTAACCTGACCTAATCTAACCTGACCTAACCTAACTGAAATATCTTGTAGACCGCACGCCATAGTAGCACCGGAAGTTCTATATATGATTACTTAGGATTGGTAAATTAATATTATTCATTTTAGTTTTCATGTTATGTAGCAGTAACCGTGGCGTGCATGCAGCGTCGTTTAATATCCGAATCAACTGATGAGTATTGATTATTTCGCCACTCCTTATACTCACACACTCACACCTTACATCCACTCATCCTTCCCTTCGGTCACATCACACCTCCACACCTGTTAAACTATAGGTGTGTTTGTACAGTTCTGGGAGGTGATCAGTGACGAGCATGGCATCGATCCTCAAGGCCAGTATCATGGATCACACGAACTTCAGCTGGAGAGAATCAATGTCTACTACAACGAAGGGCAAAGTACTCAATTCACCCATGTTCTTTCCCCCCTTTCGACTTCGCTATTACTTGACACTTGTTGACCACAGTTACCATCATCATGCATATTTTCTTTTAATTTTTTTATTCTCTAATATTTAATAATTTCTTCTTTATTTCACCCTTTTACACCTCTCTAGGTTCCTACTGCTAACCCTGTTTTTCCCCGCACTATCTGTCCTGTTATGTTTCATCATCAGTATTTTCCAAGCATCACTGCAATATGCCCACAGCCTTAAGATCGTCTAGTACATCACTGTGTTCACGGCCTGGTGTTGAGTTGTACCCCTGTGTGTCACCATTTATCTGCAACTCACAGTTTATAGAGGCGTGTGCGCCTCTCTCTCCAGCACATCACCTTACTCTCACAGCGTTGATGATTCACTTCCTCACACACCTTACCTTTCTCCTCCAGTCTTTTATAAAACCTAATATAAAATGAAATGGTGAGAATAAATTAAAGATAGAAAAGTATAGCTATAAAAGATAAAAGTTTTTGTGAGAACATAGTGTATGTGTTACAGACTGTTGGGGGGAAATAGAGAATTGATCACCAAGCACAGATCTGGTGTTACAGTCCATGGTGGTTGACATTTCTCTTCAGATGCCGTAATTAAAAACAATAATAACATAGAGAGTCTAGCACTGTACCACCTATGATCATCACAAGTTCAATCTGTATATTCGTGTACCTCCTGACCCAGTAGGTAAACCAAGGCTATAAATAGGTTAGGTTAGGTAGAGACAGGGAAGGATTGACTAATGCATGGAATAATTTTTCCATATGTTAGCTGATAGACGTGCCTCTTTAGTATGTCACACACACCAGGGGTACAGAATGTAACGAGTTGCTCACTATGTGGTTTAGGCTATAAGTTGTACATTGGATATTCAGTATAAGTTGAGAGTACTAAATTTGTAGATGTATTGTAGAATGTTAATTGACTTTTCGACTTTAATGACTTTTCATCTTGTGAAGTCCTTAATGTTACAAGGGCGAGTAAACATTCTTTAATCTCAGATGGGAAGTATGTACCGCGCGCCGTCCTAGTTGATCTGGAACCTGGCACCCTCGACTCTATAAGAACGTCAACCTACGGCAAGTTTTTCAAGCCTTCCAACTGTGTTTTTGGTAAGTGACGAAGCCGCTCTGTTATCTTGGCCGAATATGTATATTTTGTAAGGGCAGATTGTAACGTCCATAAGTTTGTGATAAAGATTAGATTACAATGATCGCCTTTACCTTGACTTCAGAATATGGTGAAAAATTGTTTGAGCCACAGGATAAGAAACGTATAGTTCTTCCTCAACTAATGCTTCCTTGTTTAGTTTAATTGTGTTGTTATTTACACTAAGTGATTCTGTTGGAGTTATTAGAGGTCCACCACATCTCTAAGATTGAGTTAAAAATGGGTATCACAAAATTAAACTCACTTCTACAATTGACGGATACAGAGTTATATAGAAGGTAACCTGTGTTGCTCAGGTCAGAGTGGTGCTGGCAACAACTGGGCGAAGGGTCACTACACTGAGGGCGCTGAGCTGGTGGATTCTGTTATTGACATCGTGAGACAAGAAGCAGAGGACTGCGACTGTTTACAGGGCTTCCAACTGAAACACTCTCTGGGAGGTGGAACAGGCTCAGGCATGGGCACCTTACTTATCTCCAAAATTAGGGAAGAGTATCCAGATAGGATCATGAACACATTCTCTGTCATGCCGAGCCCCAAGGTGAGCCTCTGTTTACCGTGGCACAGACAGCAGTACAGTATACTGTATATTGACATACATTTCATCTTAAGTAATTTCTAGATGTGGTCATATAAACTTATATTTTAATTACTACCATTGTATTTTTTTTAAATACAGTATCTTGCCGTTTATTATTGTCATAACAAATATATTAAAATAAGTTGTGCAGTAATGTCTTATCAACTGTTTGGCAAACAACTTGATTATATTTTAGAAGACGAGATAATTGAAATGTTCTGTCGGTTTGTTTGTAGATTTACTGATGGCACATTTTTCGCAGGCTGTTGAGGCTTTTAAGAGAGAAAGTCACCAATGATAACTGTCTTTTCAGGTGTCTGATACAGTGGTGGAGCCGTACAATGCCACGCTCTCTGTGCACCAACTTGTTGAGAACACAGACGAGACGTACTGTATTGACAACGAGGCGCTCTATGACATCTGCTTCAGAACGCTAAAGCTGGCCACCCCAACATATGGTGACCTTAACCACCTAGTGTCACTCACTGTCTCAGGTATCACCACTTGCTTGAGATTCCCCGGCCAACTGAATGCTGATTTAAGGAAGCTGGCGGTCAACATGGTGCCGTTTCCTCGTCTTCATTTCTTCATGACGGGCTTTGCACCGCTCACTTCCCGAAGGTGTGTACCGTGACCACCAACTGTACTGTACTGTTAGGCTGGCAATATACCCATAACTTTAAACTCTTTGCCCCTGTCTTGTAAATAATAACTAAAAGTATATGTCTGCATAATTTATTTGATATGACACGTTATTTATTGAATTGGTTTGTGTGTATAAGGTTCAATATTGCATGTAAAGATGATTTTTTTTTTGGTTAAGTCATGAGTGAGGAACAGTTGTCATGGTGCAGATAGCTGTCATTACCTCACTGTTACATGTCCTGGAGAAAGCATACTGTATTTATACTGTGTCCTTTGGATTTTGGTGTGATTTATAGTGTGCAAAAGTTTATTGGACAACACAATACTAAAATTTACTCTTGTCTGCAGCAACCAAGGATTCCAAGCGTTGTCCGTTCCTGAGCTTACCACACAGATGTTTGATGCCAAGAATATGATGGTTGCATGTAACCCAGGAAACGGACGTTACCTCACTGTAGCTGCGGTGTTCCGTGGCCGCATGTCCATGAAAGAAGTAGATGAACAAATGCTTAAAATGCAGAACAAGAATACCTCACATTTTGTTGAGTGGATACCCAACAACGTGAAGACTGCTGTGTGTGACATACCTCCCCGTGGCTTGAAAATGTCAGGCACATTTATTGGGAACTCTACTGCCATTCAGGAGCTATATAAGGTTAGATTGGGTTATCACTTTTCTCTATATTGTTAGCCATTGCTTCCTCTGCTTAGACAAATTACATTCCTTTCCCGGATGATATTTCCTGCTCTCCATCCTGCAGTTAACCCTTCCCAAAATATGCATTTCTAATATAAGTACATTTATATCAGCATTAAGTATTTTCTGTACCTTGAGAACCTTTACTAATCGAGTTTGTAACCTTACTTCAGCGTATCTCTGAGCAGTTCACCGCCATGTTTCGTCGTAAGGCTTTTCTCCACTGGTATACTGGGGAAGGCATGGATGAGATGGAGTTCACAGAGGCAGAGTCCAACATGAATGACTTGGTAGCCGAGTATCAGCAGTACCAAGAGGCCACAGTTGAAGATGAAAGTGTGTACGATGATGATGAGGAACCATTGGAAGATTCTCAAGGGAGTGCTGACTACCCCTATGATGAGTACTAAATGAGAGCAACCACAACACTGGCATCCAGACACTCAGACCACCACCACAACACCTAGATCTAAAAACTGATGTGAGGACATATAAGAAGGGGAAAAAATGAACTGAAGTACTTGTTATAGAATACTCGCATATGGTCTAACAAAAATAACATGGCGTGCTCCCACACACACATACATACATACATACATACATCCATCCATCCATCCATCCATCCTTGACGACCGGAGGGTCAAGACCTATCGGGTGCTGCTCCTGCTGAGCAGTTTCCCCCCCCTCGGCTATGTTCGGCCATTCCTCAAGTCCCTCTCCCCGACCCATCCTCACCACCGGGATATCAACATAATTAAAAGTGATAAGTTCGTTTCGGAAAGAAGTGGGATCAGTGTTGAACAGTGATGAACAGTGTTTAAGCCAGTGAATTCAGCACTAGACAGCACCGGTGAGATAAGCACCCCTGGGAACTGACCACCATCTTCTGACCAGGAGGTGTTAATCAGTCCAACCTGGGAACAACAATGGGTCGGCTTTACACCTGACTACGAGATAACACAACACCACCCAGCAGAGAGTGAGGTTCTGTGACACCACCCCACGCTACCCAGTGTCCCCATGACCACGTGAGGTCCTTCATATCAGCACCCACAGACGAGATACTGCACCACGTGAACACCACACCACCTGGTGTCTCCATGATCATGGAGGTCCTTCACGTCAACAATTACGGACGAGTCACTACACCACGTAGCCAACATAACCTCACACAGTATGGCAAGAGACCAGCCCGGGCCATCAGCTGTAAACTATAATAATTTGTTCATTTCATTGTTCCTTCTTTTAGTAATGAAAGCTTTTGTTAAACGACCCACCCAACCGATGTCTTTGTTTGTAATAAGTAATTTTTGCCTAATGTAAATTTAAAGCCTTCAGGCTGCTGAACTTTCTCAATAAACCGTTAATTATTATTATTAAAAATATTATTTAGACAGGGATTCATTCTCAACCTGATGTATTGTATTTTTAAACAATCTGTAATTTCCATTTAATGTAATTTTTATGCTTGATCACTTGGAGATGTTAAATCACTGTACTTTAAAAATACTGTAATTACATGAAAGGTTTTGCTAATGTATATAATAGTGTCATGTATGGTTTGGTTGGTGCAGTATAGTCCATATCTGTTACACAATAATGAAGTGAACAGGGGTTTCAATATACTGTACTGTAGTGTATTATTGTAACTTATAAGAGTGGTTTGTCTAATAATTAAAAAAATATTACTGGATACGAAGAACACTACTATTAAAAACCAATTTAACTTTTAATAATCCTAAAAAATGAATTGGATACTATGACATTTTAATTAATAGGAATCACGTGAAGATTAACCCCAGCTTATTTCATCTTCAGATAAACCAGCCTAACATAACCTAACCCCTCAAGGTAGCGTTAAGGTGTTTAAATCATCAGGTGAAATAAGCTGGGGTAACTAAGCTTTTTAGCTTTGAGATTCTATGTACTTTATGTTATGCATTGTGTACTATTATGCAAAGCTGTGTGGGCAGTGAATTTCCATAATTTCAATAATAAGGAAAGTGTTGTATTTTTCATGTCATTAAATAAATAAAATTCTTGAAAGTTGTCAATTTCAATTCAATTTCAATTGTTTATTCCTTGATAGAGGAAGCGGGATCCTAGTGCTGTCACTAGGTACCCCTGTACAATGACACCAGAAGCATCTGGCAAGTGTGACAAGTATATACAGTGTAGTGGACGTCTCCCCTACAACTACGCATCACATTCCAACGTGCCGTTGCCCCGCAACCAAGCGAGAGCTGTCCCCAGATGGTACGGTTGCTTAGCAACGAAACTAGTCACCAGCAACTTTCTGGGTTTTCCCAACATGATTCATAGAGGACTGGCGGCTGCTGCTGGGTATATAAGCTCTGTGTCTCCATTGAGAATTCATTCTGACCATTCTTCTTGAACAAGCAACACCTCCTCCTCCGCTGCTGCCTGGCAGCCCTCGCTTCTCCTCGCCTGCCTGGCGGTCCTCGCTCACGCCAGCGAGCATGGCGACCCACCAGCTGTCCTTCTCTGAGCTTCCTCACCACACGGCATCTCCAGCACCAGACTGTCTATCATATAACTGATATATTATACAAGAAAACCACATTAGAGTTTCCTTCCATCCTGAGTGCTAGATAACATTAATATCTCGATACCCCTACAACAGTATAAATATTATAAAGGGGCTTACTAAAGCCTAAGGAAGGAAGGATATTCCTTTGTGAAAGTTGTCTTGATTCCTCCGTTATAGGTATATGGTTCAAGACAATTACTAATATAAACAATGGTTAAATAACACGTGATCTTATTTGGATTATAGAAAATTATATGGTATTAGCTAACACACACAGGATGACTGGAACATTTAGGAGCAGATGATTAATCCTCAAATTATTTCTCCTGATGATTAAATACCTTAAGGCCACCTGGGGGATAGGTTATGGTAATTATTCTCAAGGTAAGATAACCTGAGATAAATCTTTAGGTTCCATTTTGTTTTTAAGGGTTGAGTGTAGGCATCTGGATACACAAAACGTAGGTTGATTAAAGAGAGTATTGCAGAAACTTACTACACAGCTATTATTATTACATAAATAATGACATAAGTGCTAACAGACAACGAAGATCATGATTTTATGAGAATCTGCGTCAGATTTCTAAGTAATCACTCTGGATTATGTAAATGACATTGCAACAAGAACAGTGGCAGAGACGGATCAAGGGGGGGGGGGCGGACCCCAGGACCCCCAACCTGGATCCGCCCCTGAAAGGAAGGATCCTACACAGACCTCCTCTAGTGGGTGGTTATTAGGTAAATAAGGCAGTTAACAAATTTACAGTTATTTATCAGTACGCGTATTTGTACAGTACAGTACAGTACAGTACTGTACTGTACTGTACTTGTCAACATGAAATTGTAACACTTGTCAGTGAAGTCGGAAAGAAAGTAACTTGACAGCTCTTGGTGATACGTGGTGGAACATTCACTTAATATACAGTGTTACCAAATATTATATTGTTTATTTACCAAAATTAGAATTCATATATTCTGTTATTAATCAGAAACATAATTATATAATGTATTAACCATGTGAACTTACTTTCAGCGTTGCGACCTAAAATATTTTAATCTGTAACTAATGTATTATAAAAACTACTTAACTTTAAAATTAAAATAAATTTAATTAAATAATTCTATGATAGGACGTGTATAATATATTTTGTTACAGATATATAATAGGCATCTGATATTATAGGAAATTTAGTAGGCTCGTAGTAGTGCACAACAGCGATGATGAGTGGGAGAGGAAACAACAGATTTTCTTCCAAGAATTTGCTTATTCAAGCAAAATCAGACGGATCTAGGCAATATTTTGGTGAGAATATGATTTATGAGTTACATTAGCTTTAATTAATTGCCAAAAGTTATCCCGAAAGGTGAGAATATAACAAGAATAGTGAATGTTTGGTGAGCGTGACCAGAGGCTGAAGAAGTACAGTCGTGTAAAAAAATTTCCTATGACGTGGAGAAAGTATTATCGGTATAGCTCATTGTATAGTATTAACACCACCTTATTACCAGAGTTCCATACTGGTGTTGTAGGTTATAGAGAGAGTTGCACCAGGCCAGGTATAGACAGGTCTCGTGAGTAAATATACCTGTAGATAAATAGATTTATATTTTATTTAGTAACTTTTTCATTCATATTCACAATAGTTCTGGATGTATATAGATGATTTAGGTATACAAATAATGTTAATAAGTAAAGAGTATGTGTATGTAGTAATACTTTATGAGTTGTCTGGCCATAGCAGCGACCTGGTGAAATTTTTCCATTGAGGATAAAGCTTTCTTACTCTGATAAACCTACACAAATGCTTAAGTATTGTAATTGTCTCACTTTATGATTTTTGGCGTTTTTCTCATGCATGGAAGCAGTTCTTGACTGGCAGCCCACGTACCATGTTATTTCAGATATGGTGCTCTTGGTGTCTTCAGAACATAAGTAACATATATAACTGGCAAGTAGAAAAATATCCTTGTTACAATTTGTAATTTTTAATTGATAAAATGAAGAAACTAATCTACGACGCCTTATCTAACCATACCTAAAGTACTGCCGTTATTTCTTATTTTATTCTTCTAAAATATATTAAAATTCCTTTATATAACAAGAGTCATCTCTACAGTCTAAACAAGGTGCACGGCAAGGTTTTGTTTGACTGTTTTCCTCAGCCCATTTCACACATCAAAACCGGTATCTCTCAAAACATTTCCTTGTCCAATTTTGTAAGTTTCTCAGGGTAAGAAACATCTCAGACCACTTAAAAGAGTTCGAGAAAAAAATAATTTAATATTTTTGTGACAACAGTACTGTACTCTGTGTTGGGTGGCAAGCAGTTAGTAGTAATATCCAGGGTACTGTATAATTATTTTTCATTTTTCAGAGCACGATGATCGAGGTACATATAGAAGCGGCGGTGGTGGTGGAGGAGGTGGTGGTGGTGGTGGTGGTGGCGGTGGCGGCGGCGGCGGCAGTAGAAGCAACTTTAGAGGTGCTTATCGCGGTGGAGGAAAATTCAGAGCAGGCAGAGTGTGGGATGGCGGTTACGACAATGACCGGAGTGCACGGCTGCCAGAGGTAATGTTATATTTTCCTCCGTTGGGTTAAGAAGACTTTATCTTATACCAGAATTCCATCGCGTTTTTCTGTTGTGTAATGAACTTATAAACAATATTCAGAACAGAACAGGAAATTATTGAAGTTAAATTGTAAATGTTCAAAAAGTGACATTATACTCCAAGTATGGTCACCTTAATGGTATGAAAGAACTAACACAAATTTAGGCCATAATAGGTTATTTATATTAACATATATTCTAAGTTTTTTGTTGTTTTTCATTAATATTTTCACAACCTAAGGTGTTTTGTAATGCCCGGAGTATAAGGCACTGCCAAACCTAATACCTGTCTACCCAGTTGTAATTTATATCCCCAATAAAGGAATCATGAGATACCATGGCTCCCCCCTCCCTCCCAAAGGTTGGTGGTAGTGTGTTGAGGTGTGCAGCCATCACTGTGCCTTAAGCATGGACATAGACTACAGTGGTGGACATTTAAGAAATGGCAAATGGCAATCAAAATTTTTATACTGTACAGTACTGTATACTGAATTCAACTAAAACAAATTACAGTTCCCTTCTTTTATTTATTGCTTTTGTTAATGTTTAGTTAAATGAGATATTAACAATGATAACAGAGATTTATTAAAGAAAAAGTGTCAAATATGCCTGGTACAATAATAATTTTTGTTATACAGGCTAATGTAAGGGTGGAGGACAATTGGTATGTTGGCCAGAGTAAAGTGTTGAGTATGACAGGAGTTTCCTCTACAGGGTCACTGGCGTGGAGACAACAGGCGGGGATCTGGACGAACTTTCCGTAATCCACGAGCATCACGCCACCAAGACGATGATGTTGAGATGGGGAACAACAGAGAAAGAAATAGGTACAGTGACCATGTTTTAAGATAGAGAGAGAGAGAGAGAGAGAGAAAGAGTTGTCATGTCTAGGAAGTGCAGGAATTTGCACTTCCCTTGTATAATTTCACCTTCTGTGTGAAATTAACAGATGTCTGCCTTTATTTGAAACTGTTATAGTATTCCATTAAGTGTTATATACTGAATATATAGTTTAATAAAATAAAATACGAAACCTTGAAAACATTCTCTATTGTTCACTGCAGGAGACAGGATATGTACAAAAGCCGAGGAGGACGTCGAGGGAAGGACTTCAGGAACAACCGAGGCACCCAGAACTTTGGCACAAACAATCTTGGCTGGCATAAGATACTTGTTAGTTTAATCCTCCTATTCTCTGTAGATGTCTATGTACTATCATGATCTAACCAAACTCTTGAGGTAGAAATGGTGCTGATTAGTTTTTATTTGTATTATGATCTATACTTGATTATTTTGTGCTTTGAAGGGAAAAAATGTAATTATTGCTATTTTTTCAGATGTCCTTAATGTATACACTAATCATTCCCCGTAAATCACAGATACGAGACGGAAGTAGCCTAGACAAACGTGAAGTTCTTGAATCTATACGCAGTCTGGTACAGGAGCAGTTTACACCCATGTTGGTAAGTCATCAGCTTGTATAATGTGTTGATGTAGAGGATAAGGTCTAAATCCATCTTTATAACTGAGGAAACAATGAAAATCTTGAATATAATCTCCAGAAATCAGTAAAGGGACATTCAGAAGAAAACAAACTTATATCAATAACTCAGATGCTACTCATTGGACTATGTGAAGTTGCCCTGACATGATGGCCACTTTGGCTTATTTAACTAAGCAACATATACTATACTCAGGGTATTGAAAGAACAACAGTGTCTTTCCTCAGGATGGGTAGTAATATGATGCCTTGCTTCATCTCAACAGCATCTCGACAAATTTGCATTAAGTTTGAGATGCTTACGTTACTGTTTGCTGCACTCACGTTTAAGTTTGGTGTGGCTGTTGAGGGACACTTGATAATTACTGACATAGTCTAGTACAATTTATAATCGCTCTATCTTTGTACACTGCTTAGTTTGGTTGTCATATGGTGATTATCAAAGGTCAGTGTTTAAGGTAGGGGAGATAGTGGGAGTGATTAATGAGTTCTGGTGTTTGAGGCTGAATGTAGATGAGATGTGCCAGGCGGAAAACAAGATGAGAACAAAGAAATAATTGGTGTTAGTTTGAGGTGGTCTAAGAGCTGTGGTAAATGGGAAGACCTGGGTGAAGAGAGCTTGTTACACCAGATCTGAATTGACGTGAAACTGCCAACCATCAAGAATGAGATTGATGGAAATGGGAAACTTATCAACAGCAGCATTGGAATTGAGGAATGTAATTGGTTTTACTAATTTATTTATTTTTTGCAGTTTGAGCCTGAGGGGAAGAACCTTGTCTTTTATTTAGAGGATAACGGGCGAGCTGCTCAAGCCATCGTTGAGATAAACAGGAGACTGACTATGCCAAATGGTCAGCGGCTCATCATATGGGGTAACAGATGTTCTCCTCCAAATAGAAAGATCCCCGAAAATCAGGTGTGTGTCTAGAGCTTACTTGTCCCTTGAATCATCCACTGGACTGATCAGAGGAGTGTCATCTGTAAACACCAGCTGACCCACTTATTATTTCTATCCCACTCCCTTATACTCTCTCCCTTTCACCCTCTCCCCCTTATTTACACTCCCGTATACTCTCTCACACCCTCTCCCTTTCGCCCTCTACCTTACACACACTTCCTCACACCCTCCCCTTTACACCCTCCCCCTTACACCCTCATCTTAATTTTTTAATCGTAAAGTAAATAGAAAAATGACTGAATAATGGTAGTGTTAAATTATATGTCACATATTTTCATGGGATAATAATATGTCTGCTAATGAAGGAACGTTTTTTTAGCATGATAGATTGAAACGCATTATGAGTGACCGGTACTCACCAGAACTAAAGCGACTCGACCTCAAGAACTTCCACAATGATGCGAGTAAGTCAGTTCATCTCTTCTGTAGTGTATTAATATAAACTGTATTCTATTTGTTATTTGACTTCTATGTTGCACGGAGATCTTTGACAACTCTGGGATTAAGTAACGTTGCAGAAGACCATCACAGATGCTTTAAAGTCTGAGGCATGTGTTCCTTATTGTCTCTCTCTTTTTCTTTGCCCCAAATGATACATCAGTGACAATGTTCATATTGGATTTGAAGTGAAATTACCATGTTTTGAGCTTGGTATAATTTAATGGTTTATAGGTCCTTAAATAGTGAGTTTCAGATGTACTGCCACCACTATAACACTCGGTAGCTGAGCGACCTTTAGTCACTATGCCACTACAGTACTGTCTAGTGGCAGGATTATACTGTACTGGAATCAGCTTTTAACTCATTGATATCAAGTGCATGACACAGCTTCAGTTTTAAGTGGATAATTGTCAGCCCCAAAACTTTTATTTTAGAACTATGGTTGCAACAGGACTTGATTTTTTCCTTGGGTTTAACACTGAAGACTTGGTAGGTATATGCACTTCTTGCCTGGCTGAGACCTGGCTGTAAAATGGGGGCTTGTAACAACATTTCTCCACATTTTCCCAAATATTCTTAATTTTTTTTGCATTTGTTATAATTCTCTCCCTTAAATGATGGTCCCCAGGCCACGAGAAGACCCAGTTTATTTAATGCTGGTATCCTAACCACTAATGCTTGTAAAACTTGTCAACAGACCTGGTGAAAGAAGGTATTTTCTGCCCCTTGTATCGCCAACCAAATATGCAGTTAGTGGTCGACATTATTGTTGGCTACATTCCTCTCGTTGAAGAAATTGACCTCAGCTACAACAAGATCCACTGCTTCGATGAGTTAGCGCGCATTGTCACCACCTGCCCAAATCTCCAGAAACTAGACCTAGGAAAAAATAAGGTAATTTTTATATATAAGAAACAAACAAGAATTGATCTGTCCTTGAGAGTTGATAAAATGTTGCAGGGAAGTAAATCTTTTGAGTGTTATTATGTGAAAAATGCCAAAGTTGAGGGATTAATTTTTAAAAGTGACAAAAGGCTTTATATTGAAGTTTGTCTCATAAGAATAGAGGCCAAACCACTCATGAGAACAGCGTCCTGTGGGGGATAGGACACTTTACACCTGTACAGTATTACAGAGACTAAGATTGTGTGTGAGAGTATGGACAAACCCCTCAAAAAGGAAACTACACTGTAGATTAATGTGTGCATACTTTGGGGTGTTATATTTGGTACAGTAACTCCAAATTGGAATATTGGGTCTAAAATCAAGATACAATATATTAACATTGTCAGTGGTGTTGATTAAGAGGCTAAAAGTAATCTTGTTTGAGAAGAGAGTGAGTGAGTGTTTGTGTCTTGGTTTCTGTCCACCTGTTGAACTATGTGCATTTGTAATCCTTTGGGGACTTGACAGAATGTAGGTGTTGGAGCAGATTTATGAGATTCAACTCTTTTTATATTTTGTGTGAATTTCGAAATAGACTTGGTGGGAAAATAGTCAATGCTCATCTTAAAGTTCATTGCCTTTACTATTTTCTGCAGATCCTGAATATAGACTCCCTGGACAAGCTGGCTGGCCTTAGCATCACAGAACTGACTCTGGAAAGCAACCCTCTGTGTGACAAGTTTAGGGACACAGAGACGTACATCAGGCAGGTCCCATTAATTTGTCTAGAGCCAAGTTGATTCTCTTGTCTAGTTACAAAACATAAGTATCTGGATATCTATATATACTCTACCAGCTTATTAATGGGGTTGTTACTTCTGAAATCCCTCCAAATAATTAAATCATGGCATTCAGTAACTTGGAAGGAGTTGGAAGCTCCCCCAAACACAGTGATTAATTTACAGTAATTTGCATAATTTAACTTGTTTGAGAATAAAGACATTTTTCTTCTTGCATGACCTGTGTAAAGTTACTGCTGCACTATTGAGTTTGGGAGGAGGGTATTTTTTTTTACCTTGTCTTGGGTCACCCACATTTGAGAAGGCATAATGCAAACACATTGAGCTTCAGCAGTGTGTATGTTGCTACTAGAATTTACCAAAGTACTTCATAGTTTTTTTTTAAGTTGCTGTGTAGAACATAATTTAGGATAATTACCTCTTTTATTTGGTTTTAAGTAATTTAGGAAAATATGTAATGGCTTTGTCACCTGAAACAAGCTTTTTAGAGATTTAATATTTAATCTGTTGTTTCAGTAGTGAGTTTTTAAAGTTGGATAGTTACTTGTGGTCAACAGGGCAGATCCTCACTACTGGACTGTGCCTCTCAAGGAGCAAGAAATCTTACTGGATGGTGTAATTTTAGTTTTTATTGGCTGTAAGAAAGAGAAACTTTTGACTAAATTTAGTTGCAATTGAATGATGCAGATTTAATAAGCTTTTGCTGCTCACAAGATACAGTATTCATATCAGCTGCCTTACTTTCCTCCTGATGAAATTTAATTATAACAAATACTCGTAATTTGAGTAATAGTTTTGTCTGTTGCTGTAATTATCTGTATATTAGTACAAGTTTTACTGTACCTGTTGGTTATCTAGAATTCCAGTACATTAACTTTTTCTTTATTTTTCAAAAGTATAGCTCAAAAAGATGGCTTTTATTATTTTGTTTTATAGTTTTTATCTATGATTTTGTCTACACAGTTACATATTTACACTATTCCTCAGCCCAGGTGTGTAAGGTTGGACATGAGGAAGGCCTTATATTAGAGCCACATACATCGCTCTTCCATCAAAGAAATGGTTCAAGGAGATCTAACTAATTTGTCGGTCTTTTTCTTACAATGTCCTTAAAATAATTCTATACAGTACTGGTAATTATTGTATGGGCAACATAATTATATACTGTGACTAATACCACTTGCATCACCACCTCAGTCATGTAGAGGAGGACGACCTGAGTGCTAGGTTAAAGACGCTCAGGTTACACCACCTTCAGGATCTTTTAATTGCATGTCTTAATTGACCGGTCAGCTAAACTCTGCCTATTTTTTAGCTCCCTTAGCAACTGTCACCATTCACCAAAGTTGACTGGTTGTTGGGTGTTGAGGGGAACGCTGCACCCCATTGGCAAATCACAGGCCATGTATTATTTTTGTACTTTTAATATAATGGAATTTCTTCAGGTGAATACATTGAAAAAGAAAAAAATATTTTGTTTGATAATTTATTGATGTACTTGAGGTCACTTAGTAACCATTAATTAATTAAGGTCTGTTAATGGTAATAGTTGTTAAGGAACCCTGAAATAAGAGAAACTTCAGTGATATATCAATTACTTAGTTGTCTCGTCACGTGGTATATATGCTTACTGGTGTAATCTATGTTTTAGCTCTACTGTAGATCACATTGGTCAGTTTGGGAAAGCACTAAACCGCTGCTGATTAGGCGTCAGTAATGTGGAATATTGACCAATGACTTTAGAAATGTATTTTGGGATACAGTATATTAACCAACATTTATGGCTCTTCAAAGGGGCCTTGACTTGAGTGCCTAATGTATTGGTGCAACATTTACAGGCTGCCCGTCCTACATATGGGACCTTATTTTTTCTTCTGTTAATTATCCTGACAGATTATCTTTTTCATGCAGTTCACTTGTTTCTTGTTAGTGAAAATACCTTAATGACGAACTTTGCTCATGGGTGAAATGGTAAGTTATTGCATGGCCTGAAACTTTGTCCTTTCCTCAACATTTTTGCCATAAGAAGGTAAATATTGATAGTGTATCTGTTGAACAAATTATACAAGGTGGCAGAGTGAGCGTTATCATCAGGCCATTGGTGAATCTTGCTTGTAGTGTTGCTGTCACCAGGTTTGTATAAGAAGTGTGAGAATTGTCAAGAAATGCAGACACAAGGGTTAAACTTTGTAAGCATAAAATGTGACTAAGGTAAGGAGGGTAAATTAAAGACAGATTTTGATGAAATATAAAGAAATTCATGAGTTATATTAAAGGACTTGGCTACTGTGAATGTATGTGTGTGTGTTAGGTAAATTAAACAAAACCTACTTGTCAAGCCTGATTGAGTTATGGGATCTTGAGTTACTAAGGGCATGATAACTAGTACAGGTCCTAGCATCAATCTTTGGGTTAATTACACTGGTCTGGCAACCTGTTTTATGGATTACTACCCCAAGTATTAGGGAGGCTTTAGTATAAGTCGAGGTTATGGGTCCCACAGTACAGTCGAGTTCTTGTGGTAGTATGGAACGCTACACGGGAAGGAAATAATGCATTCGGAACCTTCTTATTTTGTCTCTCCTGTGAATCCTTTTTTCTGTGATATAATTACAGATGGGATTAATTGATGGATGAAAATATTGGGTGCTAATTTATACTATTCTCATTATTGAAAGTCTGACACCATCTGTACAGCATTTTCTTCATCTTTCTTAAGTTGAAATGTTTTTAGTAATTCGTAAATTGTAGTTTTATTAAATAAGTTGAGATACATCTAAATATTTTTACTTTAGAATTATGGCAGTGAAGTGATTAGATATTTTGTCGTTTATTTACTTATTCACTCAAATTTGAATCAGAAACAGGGGACTTTAGTTAAGTATTAATGCATTTTTTACACCCATAGTGGCCTGGGTTCAATCCTGATGGTTAACAGGGTGTGTATTATACTTGTGTAGTTGAGAAAAAGTAAAGAGGATTGAAAAGAAGTAAACTTAAAGAACCTTAATCCTTATCCTGTTGAGTTAGTGGGGCGTAATCCTTATCCTGTTGAGTTAGTGGGTGTAATCCTTATCCTGTTGAGTTAGTGGGTGTAATCCTTATCCTGTTGAGTTAGTGGGTGTAGACAGTGTTTTGTTTCCAGGGGTTGTGTCTTAGAGTGGGAATTGGCTTAACCAGATGTTACCTCCATGAAAATATTAGTATGACGACAATGTTTATAGAGTTCTTATACTGTACACAGAATCATATATCAGTCTTTTTAGTTTAATACTACATTGTTGCTGCTTTAATAGTAGTACTTTTTATTTTATGTGACTCCACGGCTTCAATTTTGTGTTGGTCATTGTTTGTATTGAGTGGATGTCACTTCTTTGATACAGAGAACTTGTTCCTTTGTGATCAGCGGAGTTTATCTTGATGCAGTTGAATCTTATTTCTGGCTGTGGCTGTATTGTAAGATTGTATTTGATATATCAGTTCAAATTTATTAAATGAATATCTTTACCAAATTGTTCAGTTGTTGAAGGTAAAGAAATTAAATTTTTTGAATGAATTGTTAAAACAAATGAGATTTAATATTTCAATAAGTTATTTTATTTACTGTATTTTCATTATAACTCTGATGAGAAATACTGCTAATTGCATTTTCTGTGGATGAATTTAATGATAACTGAAACCCACCATCTGAAGGTTTGAATTTTGGCAGAAAAGTTCATCTTAGCTGAGATTGAAACTTTCAGACGGTGAGTGGTGGAGGTTATTATTATTTATGGCTCCCAGTGAATGCTTTCTCTAATCTGAACTATCCAGTGACTTGCATACTGAAAAAATAGATTTGAAATCTTTATGCATTTATATTCATTAGTGATTATAATGTGATACATGTTGTGAAAGTGTTATCAAGATGGAGCTTTTGTTATGACTGAGAAGAACAGTGTCAAGACTACATTCCCAAACTTTAAAAACTTCTGTTGCTAAAAAAAATGTTTCATGTACAATACTTTATTAGGAATTTTCAATCTGATTCATTTGTTAGTTGTAAGATTTTCTTGTCAAATATTTATCAGTCTCCATCTTTTATTTAGAAGTGTATTATGGTTTAGGCAAATAGTGTTGAATGTTTTGCTGGTGTATATTGTAGGATATGTTGGTGTGAGGGTAAGAAGCTCTCATGGTTGTGTGTTAAAGCAGAAAATATCACAAAGAGAATGTTTAAAAATGTGTTCAGGTCAAGAGTAATTTTTTCAGAAGTTCTTGTTCCTTGTATAAGTAGAGTCACTATTTTAATGTACAGTTTTACAAATTGATGAAATTCAGTTTCCTGATGGATATACAATGTGCACTTTGAAAAGGAGGGCAACAGAACAAGGGTCCCAGGACAAGAGTTTTGTCAGCAAGTTGTTGTCAAAAACTTTCCTGGGATTTCTAGGAGGAGGAGGATGCTGCTGATTAATACTGCACACCTAAACACACATGTCCAGAAGGAGGAGGAGGAGTAGGTGTGAGGCAGCTGTTGTGACATGTTAAGGTGTGTGACTGAAGACTCAAGTCTCCTTTAGGAGCAAAGAAGGAGGAGAAGGAGAATAATCAGCAGGAGGTGGAGGAGGAGTTCTGGAGTATTAGTTTTACAGATGCTGTAAAGTTAGAGAGGACCACTGCACTAGACAGCTGCAGGAATACTTGTTTACCAAGTGAAGGCTCTCACCAGATTTTATTAAGAAACATTACACTCCAATTCTGTTGCAGTATCTTATAGTGTGTTCCCATTAAATTGGCATAAATTTACAATTATAAAGCTGAAGCTAATATTTGTTCTGAAAAGGTTACTCCACAGACCTGTACAGAAAAGAAAAAGAAAACTTTTTAAAGACTTAAAATACAATTCTCCTGATATTTCATAAATTAAAAATATTTAATTTTAATATTTAAAGGTACAAAAGAACTATTATTAAGATATCAAAGTTTAATGTAATTTCTATGTTCCTTCCTGTCACTAAATGATAGTGATCTTGGTCATTTCCAGGTCAAGTCACTAATGTTTACTGAACACTGGTATTGTTCAGTACATAACTGCCTCTTGAGTTTCTCTTCAGTGCTCACCATAATATTGTCTGATGGTTCAGTAATCTGAACCAAATCATTGTACCAAGAGGCTTGACCTAAAGACAGTCTGATACAATGAGTGACCTGAAAAGTGTTCAGTTGAATCACTTTTGTATGTGTATCTTTGCTTCTGTCAAGGGACAAAAGAATGCAGATGACAGATGCAAATTGCTGTGTATCATTATCAGTGTGAAGGCAGAACTGGGACGTGTGTTATTTCAAAACCATTATACAGTCACCGGTATCAAGATGCACTTTAAAATTATCCATACAGGGTATTAGGTTAATGTTAAAACAGTTATAGGTAGTTTGGTAGTGGCAAGTTGTCGTTCTTAGAAGGTAGGATTTATTTGGTCGGTATCAAGAGTATGATACTGAAGAGGCAGTGAAGATGGTAAGCTGCAGCAAACATCAAGAAGGATCATGCTGATACCACTAGTTGACTGGTACCACTCTAATTGACTGGTACCACTCTACTTGACTGGTACCACTCTAGTTGACTGGTGCCACTCTAGTTGAATGATCAACTCTAATTGACGGGACATCACCATTATCAAGAACAATTGCATGACTGTACGACTATCAAGAGACATTAAAAAAATAACTGCTGTGCTCTGGAAGTATAAACACTGTTAGTATCAAAATATGGAGTCAGGTTTCCAGTACCAAGTGTGAGTCTGCAGCATCAAGATATGTGAAGCTGTCGGTGTAGTAAATTTTTTTATTTATTTATTTATTGGGCACCTCCCTACATCCTTGTGTAAGGTGAAGCGCAGAAGCGTTTACAGTGCCCAACAGGGAAGCATGCTAAGTTCATGCTTGCCTTTATGTCTCATGAGTTAAGGGTGTAGAAGCCTGAAGAGTCGAGGACATAGAAGCCTGAAGAGTCAATGGTTTATGTCTAAGCAAGTTATTGGAAGTTCCAACAACTTGTCCCTGAATACGAATTCGCAACTTTCGATTTACAGCAGGTACTTACTTTGCTGCTAGGTGAACAGGGACGAAGGGGACTAAGAAGAGTGTCCAAACAACTTCCGCCGGCCCGGGAATCGAACCCGTGACATCTTGCTTGCGAGGCAAGAACGGTACCGCTCTACCACCAGCTCCCCCGGTGTAGTAAATGTGTCAAATTATAATTACCTCGTCAAGATGTAGTAGTCATTCACTCGTACCAAGAAGTCGATGGGAAATATTTTAATCGGTATTGGATGTGGAAGTCTTCAAGATGGTGATGTGATGTAAAGTCAAGATAGTCAGTAAGAAGATGAAGAAATCAGTGAGATGCAGAGGAGATGTGACGATATCCAAGGTCAAAATACACCGTCAAGTTGCTATGATGGTGAAGAAGTGTCCGGGCAACGTTCACGAGGTGTCATCAACAGGGCCAAGAAGCAGTGGGAAATAATCAGACATAGTGGATGGTGTTAGAGTACCCTGATCACCAGCAACTGTTTGGGTGTACACAATGACTGCTGGTGGACAGACAGCTTGTGGTGACACTTGAACGATGAAGTAATTTATACAGCAAGACTGATGGTAGTGAATAATAATAATAATATAATTTTTACAATATTTTGCTAATATGAATTTGTTTGTAAGAGTTGCAAATATTACATGAAATGCATCAAGTGAAGGGCTCGCATTATGCTATAGTGCAAAAAGAAGTCGCCAGCAGTAAGATTTCATTGAAGACATGCTGACAGAAATATAATCCAGTAGAAGATTGAAGAGCCTGCAAGGTATGACAGGACGGAATGCCAGGATCGTCCACAACAAGACGCCACACACTCGGATGACGGTTTAGGTGAGGATGTTAACTTGTAGGTGTCCCAGATGTAAACCAGTGATCGTTACAACAAGAGATGTGTGCTGTAATCACTTGGCCACCATATCCCTGTACTATATTTCTGTAATAATACTGTATACAGTATTAAATAAAGAAAAGTCAAGAATACTGTATGTAATTTAAGTGTAATTATTGTCATTAATTATGTGGTGTTGTACCTTAGGTCTGTGTCACGTACTAGACCCATCTCTCTATTATGAATGAAACAAACTCCATGATATTAAACTTAGTTATATCCTCACGGTGGAATCCAACAAAGGTTTTAATACACTGCAGGCAACTGGGTGTAACTGAGGAACACACCGTAAACACAACTGTCCGCTCGGAAAGGAGACATTGTATCTTTAAGGCATCTCAGTTGGTCAGATATGTTCCCCAACTGTCTACTGTATATGGTGGAACACTTCATTACCGAGTCATGCACTGTAGTTAGCTGAGACAGGAAATGGGGTGTAATAATATGGTTGGTTGAATTTAATGACCTTTATGACTTCAGAATTTTCCTCGTAGTGAAAAGATTATTGCTTCCTGATGACTAGATGATTGTAAAGAATATACAAGGCATTAGTTTATAGTTTGTTGATGACTGTTACGGTCTATTGCCTCTCTCTCTATAGCCATATTATTAAGACCCTGAAATTGTGATAGGATTAAGGTTTAAAGAAATTATGTTTTGTACATGAACTTATGAACCTAAAAAAAAAATAAAAAAAAATAAAAAAAAAATAAAAAAAAATAAAAAATAAATAAAAAAAACAGCAAAGAAAAAGAAAAAAAAAGAAATGGTTTACAAGTTCATTATTTTTATATATTTTTCTGTTATTTTTTGTAGTTAAGTGTGTGTTGTGCTGCTGATCACATGGAACAAGTCACTGAAACTATACTGTATTCTCTTTCATTTAAATTTTTTTCTATAATAATAATAAACTTCCATTTTTTCATTAACTATTATCAAGTTTTTTTTAGGATGTGTACAAAGTTTATTCTGATCGACTGACTCTTGTATGTTTTTTTGTTTTTTTTTTCTCTACACCGACGTTGACAACAAGTATGTGAGGTATTTCTTGTAGACATTAAATTCACGACCTTAATGTAGGTATCATCTGGATTTGCCATCTGGGCGACTTTGTTTCGGTCGACCTTTTATTTCAGATTACAGTACGTCCCGAGTTAAGTCTCATGGGTTAACCAGATATGTTTCAAGCTCATGTCATGGGTTACAGATTCATGGCATGGGTTATGTCTCAACTATGTCATGGGGGGCTAAGCAAATTTTGTTTACAGTGGGATGAGTTACCGTACAGTACATTATCTGTGTTCTGGGCGGTGATTCCTCTCTCAGTAATAGTTGACTCCATACTGTCATGGGGTTTAATGACACACACACACAAACGGTCATCTCACTGCCGGAATGCTAAAGATTTTTTATTTATTTTTTTTTAAGTTATTGTCATCTTTATTTATTTCCAGCGTCGGGGTTGTTTTCGTAGCGAACTAGCTATTAACGTCAGTCATTATATAGCTTATGGAAAAAGTATTCACAGTGTAACAAAATAAGAGAGTATTATTTGTTTATTCCCGTTGTAATGAATGACGGGAGGGCAAACTTGGTCACACTTCCGCTGGTCAGTCCATTTCCCTGTCGACTCCATTAACACAGAACTGTCAGTCATACAACACTAGAAAGATGCTCATTGGTTTCTGTCACACCAAGGAATTTTTTTTTTTTTACTTAGTGTCTTGTTGGTGAGGAAGGATTCACCACACACTTAGAGAAGATAAAGGCAATGGATAGTGTTGAGAGGAGCGACAACCCTCACTATTTAAACAGGGTTCGGGGTTTGGTTTTCCCATTTTAGGTCAAACTAACATTTAATTTTTCATACATAAGAACATTTGCAATTGATCATGAGTATGTACATAGGCTGAGGAGTTTAAGACACATCTGTTTCTATCTGCACCACTTGTTAGGTGTGGCAAGGCAACACAATGTATTCCTGGGTCACAGACTGGTACAGTAGATGCATCTTTAATAAAAATTCTTCTCATGTACGTAATTCTATACCTTTTTAAGATCTCTAGTTCCAGGTGTTGGCGTCAGAAACTCACCAGTCGCAGGTGAAGGCTGAGGGTACACAGTGCATGATGGCTCCATGTTTTTTATTCTCTTTCTTTCTTGGCCCATTTTTAATTTTTACAGTTTAGAAAACAAATTTATAATATCACAAAGATGTTATAGAAATGTAATATACGTGAAGTGGGAAGAACCTTGGAGAAAAATGAATAATATTTTAAGTTTTGACGAAGATACAAATGATGAAGAATATGTGGCAGTGTATGATCTTGCCTCTCATAATTTCTTCTGTATCGCTCTACAGTCAGATGAGATACGAAGGTGCTCCATGATTTATACACTGTACATATATCAGTTCTCCTGAGTTAACCATTGGCAGAGTTGCATTTAAAAAAAGAGACGATACATAGAAATAGCAATAACTTTTTAGATATTACACCAAGTCAATTGAATATCTTTAATTACCAACAAGAACTATTAAGATTTTTTATAAATATTAATTAATTATTGAAGTGCTTATTATGGGAAGGAGTATACTTAAGAGTTATTTTAAGTTTGTATTAGTGTGTTTCTTTAGTTATGATTACACTCTGTATATTTATATCATTTCAAGAATAGAAGTAACTTTAGCTTGTGTCGTAATAGCACTATGTTGATGGTAGTTCTTGTGAGAGGAAATCCTGATGGACTTGAAGCATAAGAGTTCATGGTGGAGTCGCCTTCCCTCCAGATTATACATTACCACCTTATTTTTTCCCCAGTGCTGTGAGGAAACTCTTCACCAAAGTCATATGTTTGGTAAGTTGTATACTGTATGTACCCTTTCATGTATGTATTACAGCAGACTACAGTAGTTTTAGATTAGGTGTACAGTTGTAATGTCTCTGGTGTAGGACTGTACATATTCTGTTTTGAAAATATGTTACCAATACACTATAGGCTTTTGTTAAGTTTTTAAATTATATTAGTACTAGTAGCAGTTTCACGAGTCATTGCCTAAAACAGCCAATCATAAAGCACGCCAGATTAGAGGGGTCTCACCTGTACGTGTAAGTCAACAAAACAAACTGAGAATACTTTGCACTTAGAGTTCTGCAAGTTGGTTTGGCTGCTCACAGTGTTGAAGAAATTGTTCATAAGAGACTAAATGCCAGGTGTGTGCTTTTGTAGTGTATTCTGTAACTGCAAATGTCTGTGGTCCTGATTAAATTTTATTATTAATATTATTGCAATATTTTTTTCTACTATTATAGAATAATTGGTATTGTTAGATTAGGTTATAACTGTTTCTTCCATTAATGAAGCTATTTATATAAGAGAAACATTCAACTCAAAATCCTTCACTGCCTTGTAAAACAGGACGGCCAGCAACTTCCTAAGGCAATTGGGTTTGAGGTAGAAGAAGACGTCAGCAAGATGCCAGACATCCAGCGCGCCTACATCCAGGATGCCAACGTCAAGGATCTCGTGTTGCAGTTCATTCAGCAGTATTACCGGGTAGGGGATGATGGTTGATGCTGCCGGGAGACTTTGTACAGGATTTGGCATTGGTTCTTTGCATCATTGTCATTTTTCAGTTGTTAAGGAGATCATCATTATCATCATGTTATCGATCTCATCATTTGTATGTTATCAAACATCATTAATTATATCAATATCATTATTATCCATCATCATGTTATCAATCTTATTGTCATTCATCTGCTATCAAACATCATTAATTATATCAATATCATTATTATCCACCAGTATTCATCACTATCATCATCATCAATTTTAATCATAACTTTTCAGATACGGCACAGTACTGTACATGTAAATTAGTGTGACTATCTACTATAAGTCTTACAATGCACTTACCTTACCATTTTACATCTGAGTTGTTGATGGTCACTGAGAACCACATTATTCCTTGCAGATATTTGACACAGACAACAGAAGACCGCTAGAGGCTGCGTACTCAGAGAACGCCACCTTCTCTTTCTCCTGCAACTTCCCCGAGACAGGTCCTGGTGCTCGGTGAGTGTACAATACAACGCCCCTTATTGTGTTTCCTTCAACTGGTTACTGTAATACCTTCTTGACTCAAGTTACAGTAAAATTGATAATTGATCTTTTTACAGGTACACAAACATCTATCTGACCGATAATAGGAATTTGAAAAAGTTAACGCCTTCTGACCGGCGACATAAGCTGGTGTATCAAGGACGCAGCATAATACTGAACTACCTCTGCCGTCTGCCGTACACTGTTCACGACCCTCTGTCCTTCTGTGTGGATGTTCCCGTAGCAGATGTGAGTTACAGTTCAACACACTTCATTAACCTCTCAATATAGATTTTTATTTAATTTTTTTGAGTGCCAGCATTCAGCATGGGGTGAAGTACGGGAGATTAACTTTACATTTCTACTCTGTGTACATATATATATTCGTCTTCCAGGGTTCAGACACCTCAAAGAAGGGTTGGAGGGTGATGTTACTTGGGGATATTGGAGCTGGGAAATAATAGACGATGACAGGAAAGGGCTGACTCAAGTAGAAGAACCCAGAGAATTTTTCATTATACTTCTCTTAGGTTCAGTGTAGGTCAATGTACTAATGTATTTTTGTAAAGTGATCATGGTAATTCAAATTTAAATATAGGTTATGTCGAGGAATTTCATAACCTATTACTGTACAGATCTCAAGCAACCCCAAGTCCTAGGTGGGAGTATTACTTCTTGGTGGAGTTGGTGATACTACATGTGTTAGGACTGGGAGTTGGTGATACTACTGTACATGTGTTAAGACTGGGAGTTGGTGATACATGTGTTAAGACTGGGAGTTGGTGATACATGTGTTAAGATTGGGAGTTGGTGATACTACATGTGTTAAGACTGGGAGTTGGTGATACATGTGTTAAGACTGGGAGTTGGTGATACATGTGTTAAGACTGGGAGTTGGTGATACTACTGTACATGTGTTAAGACTGGGAGTTGGTGATACATGTGTTAAGACTGGGAGTTGGTGATACATGTGTTAAGACTGGGAGTTGGTGATACATGTGTTAAGACTGGGAGTTGGTGATACTACTGTACATGTGTTAAGACTGGGAGTTGGTGATACATGTGTTAAGATTGGGAGTTGGTGATACATGTGTTAAGACTGGGAGTTGGTGATACATGTGTTAAGATTGGGAGTTGGTGATACATGTGTTAAGACTGGGAGTTGGTGATACATGTGTTAAGACTGGGAGTTGGTGATACATGTGTTAAGATTGGGAGTTGGTGATACATGTGTTAAGACTGGGAGTTGGTGATACATGTGTTAAGATACTGGGAGTTGGTGATACATGTGTTAAGACTGGGAGTTGGTGATACATGTGTTAAGACTGGGAGTTGGTGATACATGTGTTAAGACTGATACTGGGAGTTGGTGTGTGACTACATGTGTTACTACTGGGAGTTGGTGATACTACTACATGTGTTAAGACAGACTGGGATGATAAGACTGTTGTGTTAAGACTGGGAGTTGGTGATACATGTGTTAAGACTGGGAGTTGGTGATACATGTGTTAAGACTGGGAGTTGGTGATACATGTGTTAAGACTGGGAGTTGGTGATACTACTGTACATGTGTTAAGACTGGGAGTTGGTGATACATGTGTTAAGACTGGGAGTTGGTGATACATGTGTTAAGACTGGGAGTTGGTGATACTACATGTGTTAAGGATCTAGTTTGGGTGAGTGTGCTGGCCTAAAGTCTTTACTCAGGTTGTTTTAAGGCAGTTTAATACATTTTTTTTTAAGGTTAAGTTGAAATTTATTGAAAAGTTAGACTAGAGAGTAGATTTTGGAAGAAATTGTTTTTTCTGTAAACAATGCCTAGTAGGTATTAAAAGATTGAAAGAAAACTACAGTAAATTGTACTGAAATGTATTGGAGATACTGCATCAATGTAATTAATTTCTGTTGAATTTAATGTAATTTAAAGTTTTAACTTTACATCCAGTTATTTATCATGATATTGGGAAACTTTTAGTACGTACAGTATACTAACAGAGATATTTCATTAAATGAGTCTGCCCTTCCCTGCATATACAGAAATCCCAATTACCTTTAGTTTACTGTACAGTATTTGTGTCGACTGACTGTGTGACGTATAAGACATGACACAGATTAAAAATATTGATGCCTAACTTGTATCCATTATTTCATTGCAGCCTAAGCTGATAGTTGTGATACTCAGCGGAGTGTTCCGTCAGTTGGCCGACCGAAATCCGCCCATTCGCTCATTCACACGCAACATAATAATCATTCCTGAAGGATCTGGTTTCTGTATCTGTAATGAACAGCTGTACATCACCACAGCCACTATTGATCAAGTTAAGGTAAGGATCATGACTTAAGAAGCCGCCAATACATGTTTTTATTATTGTAGAAAATTGTTTATCAGTTGATCTTTGTGGTTATTGAACTTAAGGTCTATAAAGCCCATTCATGGTGTACATATTAAACTAAAGCTGAAAGTGATCCTTACAACACACTTGACTCACTCCTCTAGAACTTTCCCATAATCAGAGCTCGTGTCATTCACAAGAACTTTTGGCATTTTACCTAAAGTTTTGCTCTCATGTGACTCATTTGGTTTGAACTACTTCTCCTGACCACTCTGCCTCCTTAACCCATTCTCAATATTGATTTTATCTTTTACCAGACTGTATTAAGGAAAATAAACTTTATTAACCACTCAGTCCAGAGCAATGTTTTTGATCCACCACCAAAGAATTCATCGCATATTATGCCTGTTTATAAGATTATTATTATTTTCTGGTATATCTTTCATATAAACCAGGATTCAATAAAAATCATTGTTTATTGTCTCTCAGAAAGCATTCAAAACTCCAGTGGTGAGTACAGCACAGTCAAGTGAGCCAGACACTTCTATACCAAGTACCAGTACAGTGCCAGAGCAGAGTCAGCCACCTTCAGTTCCACAGAGTGCACCTGATCCTGGGCAGCAACAAGCCATGGTTGTCAAGTTCTCTACAGAGTCAGGGATGTTGCCTCAGTTTTCACAACTGTAAGTGTAAATTATTCAATATACTTACTTACGGTTTCACCTAATTTGTGCTTTTAAAGTCTCCAACTAATCCAGGAGACTTATGTATTTAAACATCTTACATACATGCATACTGTACACACATGGCATTATAGTCACATGCACTATTATTACACACAGTACTTCAACACACACACAGGTCAAGATGCCTGTCTGAATTGCTGGAATACCTTTAAGGAATGAAGATACAGTATACAGAACTTATTCACAATATTATCATACAAATTGGAGACTGAACCCTTGTTGGTGGCCCACATGGTGTTGGCAACCAAGTTTAAATTACCATATAGGTTTAACTTAAGTTTAGAATATATGTTGGCTAATGAGGTGCAGAGTAGAGATAAAAATCTTGAGGTAGGTCATGTTGACTCCACTTTTTAATAAATGTCTTTGCTTTCCAAGAGAAACCCATAGTTACTGTAAAATATTTTATGCCATAGACATTGTATATACAGTTTATCAATTTTTTGTAACATACTGTACTCTTATATATCTGAGAGACCTTAGATTTGGGAACATGTCTTGGTACTTGTTCCTCATGATTTATATTCTCTTATTATTTAATGTTAATATTTTAGAGTGTTTAGATTTTTAATGCATATTTTTTCTTCCACAGATGCTTGGAGCAGAATGGTTGGGACTTCAACAAGGCAGCGGTGATGTTCTCACAGTTAAAGATGGAGAACAAGATTCCTCCTGAGTATTTTGCACAAAGTGTTTCCTAAGTTCTCATAAAAGTTAATGGTTATTAATTATTGGGGCAGCTGTGAAGGTGAAAACTGAACTGCTGAAGTCCTCACAGATTAGGACATTAAACATTTGAAGCATGATTATGCACCAAAGACTTATGGAAATTTAAATTAATTTTTAGTTGAATGAAGTAACTCTTCAGTCTCACATTATTGTTAGTTTACAGTCACGGATGACTTCTTTTAGATTATGTAAAGTACTGTAGTATGTGCCTAGGATTGGAGGCCAACACAGTATATACCGTACCATTAAGACACTGACTTATAAACTTGTACTGTACAGTTTTCTCGCAAAGTAAAACTGTTAATTGTTTTTATCAAAGGACCCAAAGACGTAACCTGTTTGATGACAAGGCCAAGAACAATTTTGACAGTGTAAATGTTAACAAATTACCCGGTAAATGGAAATGCTAATATTGCCTTAGAGAACTAAAGTGTCAAACCTAATTGTGAGAAAGATCAAGAAAAGTTATTCCTGTCAAAACCAGTGAAGCAATAATGGAGAAATTTGCCTTAAAAGTTCAAACTATAAAAGGAACTTAGAAACGTCTTTCCTTTGTTTTTTTTTTGTTTTTACGGGTTTAATTTTTTTTCTGCAATATTTACAATCCCAACAGGAAGATGAAACATAATTTGACTGGTTATGTAAAGTTTAGCTACATGAGAATGCCTTACCTTAGAGCTTATATTTTGGGGTTTATGTTTTATTTATTGTAACATTTCTTTGTGTTATGTTAATAATGCACCAGAGTCATAAAAACAAATCGAACCTCATACAAGAATGAATGATTATTTTGGGGTATACTGAGGTCTGTGTTGTGTCAGGGTTTTATCTTTATAACAGTGTTTCTCAGGTGATGGTAGATCACTCGTATGTTTTGTATTGTGTAAAATGTTTTCATTTATATATTTGGTGAATGTTTAGATAAAATCAGTGTAAATATATGTAGTAATAAGTGCTTTTGGCCACTACCTTTAAAGGGATAAATGAAGAATATTTGGGCAAGACATAAATCCTGTAAAATATATTATAAAATATCATTATTTTGATACCTGTTATAACAAATAGTATAGGAGTTTCTGATGTGTGCAGACTGTTCCAACTTTTGTCTTTAATTAGTCCACTGATGGGGAAAAGAAAGGTAAATGTGTATGTATATATATATAGTAAGAAATTGTATATATCAAAATTAAAAGTGAACAAGGTACAAAAAAACTTTGTGTTTTTACAGTTAGGTTCCCCAAGTAGGGACGCTACAACGGTTGTCATGTTTATTTATTCTTCTCCTGACTTACATTTGTGGATATTTGTTCGTAAGGTGTCAGTGAATGAGATTATACACAAACTATGAGCTGTAGCATTACTGTCGTACTAAGTGGGTTGTGTTCTGTGTTCCTGGTACAGTAGATGAATATTTGTATTATTTTCTTTTGTTAGTCATTGCTCATTAATTTGCTTCATACTCTGAATGCAAGTGCTGCTGTGTAATCTAGTGACAAACTTTTGACCTTAAGGTTTATAGGTTTTTTTTATAAATGACTTCTGATATATTATTATAGTGTATGGTATATATGGCTGTGAGCTGCATCAAGGACAGCTATAAAAAAATTTAATGAGATATAGTTCATCTTCTATTGTCAATCAAAATTTACTTCTCATTCATACAAGTGCAGTAGAGTGAACTCATCTGTGTTACCGGTGCTGTACTGCTCAGAGTACAGTACTGTGTGTGTTTCTGCATACCATTAATTTAGTTTTGTTTATTGAATATTACATGTTACTCTAAATTACAGCTTCTGGATTTTGTACAAGCACCTGATCGTGTGTGTGTGTGTAGATAATTATCAACTAGGGAAACATCTTGTCAAAATGGGAATATATAGTGAGAGATTATGTATGACTGGTATTCCTGATATTACCTCGAGAGAATTTTACATTGATAGATCTTGTGCATTGGTTATACAGTATACAGTACAGCGAGTGTTTGGTCGTCATGTACTGAAGTAACACACAGAAACATAAACACTGTCTCTCGAGTGTAGAAATAATATGTTTTAAGAATTTTCATAGGCGACTAAAGCTCATATACCTGTGGGTTTTTTTTTTTTTATAATACAAACTTTCCAACATTAAAGCTTCATTATTTTACTGAACATGTTTTATATCAGCTCCCTGTTTATATATGTCCTGTGTATCTTCAAGTCTCCTTGTGTAGTGTTGATGGTGTTAATTTAGCTATTTCCTCCTCTTCCTGTTGCTCCTCCTCTTCTCCCTCTTCCCTATGTAGAGTCTGACACTACTGCTGTCTAACACTGACAAGTTTTATGATTTATTTATTTGGATGAAACTGTTTTGGATATACTGTACTAAACGCATCACTGACCACTGATTGTTAGAAGTGTGCATCAGTAGATATATGAAGGAGCACTGGGGTAAGGTGAGGTGTGACAGCCAAGTGTATACAGGGCTTAAATGTTAAAGGAGTTTGCATTAGTAGACATATTGCTTGCTGCCAACAGATAAAATTGATATTTTTATCAGTATTTAATTGGTATATTTGTGCAAACCAAAATACAGAATCTTATGTTGGGGGTTTGTTTGAGCCTCATCACTTCATATTACACAAGGAATGCTCAACCCTCTCATCCTCTTACCACACACCTAAAGAACTCTTAATCATGATGTGATATATACTTCAGTAAGCACATTATTATCATACCTTCTGTAGTCCTTCAAAACACAAAGGAATAGAAACCAATTATGAGGAAGGACGGTGCAGAGACAATGAGCAGGACGGCATTAATGTTTTTTATACAAGGTCGTGTGCTAGTCCTCTACATACAGTATTTGTACATGTTCTGTATGGTCATGTAGTCTCTGTAGGTTATTAGAACTTGTAGAATGTTCACTCGGTAAATTTTCAATCTGATCATCATTTGCAAATAGATTTTATTAGTGATATGTGATACTGACACAGGTCTCTCTGGTTTGTGAATTACTTATTGGTTTAGGTTATGTTATAAGTTAACGGCAGCTGTTAGGCGGACATCAAATTATTTGTTTGGGTTTTTTCTTCGTTAGTATTATATTGTACTCTCTTTTAATCACTGTCGATATATGTTTGATGAACTTGAATAACAATCTTTTCTGGTAAATATAATATGAACATCAGAATTATGTTGTGTGAGAGAGAGATATACTCAGTTGTGTTCATCTGGTCGTAGGCACAAAATGTTTTGGTAAAGGGATTTTGAAATTTGCACAGTTGCTTTTCTGTTGTGTACAGTATATGTTAATAGTTGATATACGGTACAGTATATATAGTTTTTATTATATTTTATGGTTTATACTATATGACAAGTGTTACATTAATAGTTTATGATGGGAACACTGCTGAGAAACAGTACAGTACAGTACTGGGCTGGACACTCACCTCCGCATCACCATTATTTATACAACCATAATTCTTTGTCTTTTTTTTTCACTAATAGGTATTTTTAGATTCCTTCTTGAGACAACTTTTACTTCAGAGGTGCTGTTGGTATCCATTATTTTACCTGGGGAAGTATTATATGAAGTCACTCGCAAAGTAACAAACATTACAGTATAATGTGTCAGTTCATACAGTGTGTACTAAGTTTAAGCAATATTAATTGTGCTTTATGGTGAAGTGTGCCCATTACCTGTATAAGATGTGTTGAGAAATCAGTGCAAAATACTGTACTGTACTATAATGTCAGCTGTTTGTTGGTGGCTCACCCTGGCTCATACATCCCACTGATCATTATATTCCTAATTCCTTCACTTTATTATTTATATAAAACATAAACATTAACAGTAAAGTGCTTCAGGTGCTTGTGCTCTACTTTTTTCATATTGTCTGAAAATTAATCTCACGTCAAAATTCTGGTGACCACCAGCCAGTTAAGATATACAATTTAACTGATTCTTTGTAAAGTATATAAATGTATGTATATATGTGAGGACATTGTCTCAAGAAAGAAGGGACAATATGAAGGTGGGCAGGAATATATTTACACAAAACAATTTATGTAAAGATATAGTCGTTAAATCTCTGAGGCGATACAGTACTGTACTGTACGTGGTCTGTGGTGATGTAGGTGCTGTTGCTAACAAGGTCTTACTCATAACAGTGTCCCTAGATCACAGGCAGGTCAGGACAATCAACATAAGGGGGAAAAAATGCCGTATGGTCCTCTATACTGTACATTAGAGACAAACTAACAATGTATTGAGGACCATCCTGGCATCTGGTTAGCTGTGTTGTAAAAAGGTGTGTGGGTATGAGGTGACAGCAAGAGGCAAGGTTCACCGGAGAGGATTCTGGATGCGTTCCCTGTTCTCCGCCAGCCACGCCAAGATCCTCTTCTCTGTCTCTCGCCGCTCCTCGTCAGGCTGCACAAAGAGGAAACAAAAAATTATTATGCCAATCTTTTCTGAAATACTAAATGTCTTCTGATATACTGCACTGTAAAAGGGACTATCTACACCCTTGCTAATATGACTCACAGTCAACCTACAGATAATTCTAAACAAAGCAACCTGAGTGGTCCTTTATATATACAAAAATAATTATAAATATAGATTAATGGTCCAAGGATCACAAACGTAGTCTATATTTTTTGTATTGATATAAATTTATAGGAGTATTTTAACCAGTTTGATTTACACAATATATATATATTTATAACTATTACATTATATAAACCATTACTCTATAGATTTATCCCGAGTGTATATATTACCATCATAATGACATTTACAATCAAGAATATTGTTAGTACTGTACTGTATATACTTTTATAATATATTGCCATATTGGTTACATATTTTATGACTACATTTTCATAATTTTTTACTTGTCGGTGAATAATTAGTCAAGTTCCTCTAAATAAATTTTTACTGAATATTAATTTCTAAATAATTTAGTTAACTGGAGGTAATTGGCTGGATTATTTAGTGACCTTAGGTACGATGAAGACGCCTTCGGTGTAGTCGGCCACAACGTTCTTCTGGTCTTCATTGAGGGGCGTCCTGCTCAGTGTGGGATGGAAGCCGGTGGCATCTGCATAGTAAGCGTTCTTGTGGGCGTAACCGTCTGATCCCAGGTTGCCAAATTCTCCCACCTTAGTATTGTTCATGTAGCAGTGTTCCCAGTGGTAGTTGATCCTGCGAAACAACACACTTGACATAAACACAAGAAATTTGTATGTGTGGAACTGAGGCTATTTCATGATCAGGTCAAATGATTGAAAAATGTGATGGAGGTTCTGCTTCCATGGGTGAGATTTTGTATAATTTTAATGTTGTTATCTTGTCTGACATAAATAACAAATATAAATTACAAAACTAGTAAAAGGGGTGAGAGCAAGGTTATGGCTGTGTGATGTTAGTTTGGTAAATAGTGATGTACTGTATAAGATGTAAATGGGAGAAAATTCCGGTGTTATTTGTGTACGACTGAAAAGAAAAATTAAAAATATTAGTGAAGGAATGAGGAAGTGTGTATGAGGAGAAAATTAAGAGGAATTATGGACAAAGGTAAAGTAAATTATTTAGGAAGCAAGGAATGAATAAAGTTTGAATGACGATACAATGTAGGAAATTCTGTAATACAAATAGCTGGGAGTGATTGAGTTAGTTAATGGAAGAATGAATGGTGAATACCGTGAAATGGATAACAGTACGATAAGGAAAGAGTGTAATAGGTACACTGAGGAACTTACAGAGATAAAGAGAAGTTGTATTATTGACTAACTGGATCATTTTTACAGTAACCATTTATGTGTGGAATGAGGTTAAAAGCATCTTGGAAGTACCCGAACTGTGCTGGCTAATGAGACTAAAAATAGAGTAAGGTTAAGAAAAAATTACATGTAGAAGAAGGATCAACAGTAGCAGTAATTAACCTGGTGTTGTAGTAGAAGTAGTAGGGACAGCCGCCTCGAGGGGTGGGAATATCATCATCCAGATCCTTGCCCAGCTTAGGGTTGTCTATGGGCCCTTCTTCAGTAGTGGTTGAAGGAGGGACGGGGGTGGTGGTGGGGATCCTCACACGCCGCATCTTGGGGAAAAATCCTCGCTCGTTGGCTCTGCATCACAAAGAATGCTTTTAGTTAGGATGTACAAGTTTATTTTCACTTGAGCAATATTTATCTTTCTCTTTTACAAAGTTTCTCAGTCATTAATATGTCACTTATTTTATATATGTATACATGATAGTGGCAGGCCAAGGACCCCAAGTCTTGAAGGTATTCTTTATTTATTGACGCATAAAATCAAATGAATTGTACTGGCAGTCGTAGAACTCGGATTTAAGAGCCACACTGTCAAACGAAGATATAAGTCGGGGTATTTGGGAAGGTTATTGGAAAATGCATTATGTGTGTGTGTGTAAATAGAAGACACAGGTGGTTAACTAACTCGTAGGTCACGATGCGTCGCCATCCATCGGGGGCGTCCCAGTAATACTCTCCTTTCTTGGAGCCATCGGGGAGGCCTGTCTCAGTGTGCCCGTGAGTTGGGGTTGTGAAGCCAAAGGAGTAGAGGGGTTCAGGTTTCTTCTCTGGCTTGGCAGTGGTGGTGGTGACTGTGGGCCGCTGGGTGGTCTGGTTGGGGGAACTGAGCTGCCTTCCCTGGGAGTTATCGACTGGAGCGTGTGGAGTAGTTGAGGTAGGGAGGAGTGTGTTAGATGGGCAGGAAAAACACAGTTAAACAACCTGATTTACACTTCATCTGTGAATAACGTAAACTAATCCAACCCAACCGCTTTTAACAACTCTTTATCACTTTTAATCCCTACTACATATCTTATTTCATTCTCCCTCTCTCTGCCTTCGTGTCTAACTCTTATGGCTATTATTCTCCTTTTATGTTCTTTTAGTCCCTCCTGCATCCCTCTGTGCTTCTGTCGACATCACTTACCTACGATGGTGTTGTCTACGACCAGTGGCACCTCGGGCACCAAGAGCGGGTCACGGGGTCTCGGGCTGGTGACTGGGATGAAGCTTATGAAAGGTGTCGTAAGTGGTCGTCTGGTAGTCGGCGGTCGTCTAGTTGTGAATGGTCGTCTGGTTGTCGTGATTGGTCGTCTGGTAGTCGTGATTGGTCGTCTGGTAGTCGTGATTGCTCGTCTGGTAGTCGTGATTGGTCGTCTGGTAGTCGTGATTGGTCGTCTGGTAGTCTTGATTGGTCGTCTGGTAGTCGTGATTGGTCGTCTGGTAGTCGTGATTGGTCGTCTGGTAGTCGTGATTGGTCGTCTGGTTGTAATAATTGGTCGACGAGTTACTGTGGGACGAGAAGAAAATATTAGCTACTTATTTTAATGTTACTTTTCCCATTGTCTCATTCCTATTTATATCAGGGCTTAAAGGAGACATAAAGATGGCTTCAAGTTCTTAACACACCACAACAGTATTCAAACCAAGTCTTTATACAATAATACTGATCTTTAACCTAAATGAACTCTGATCAACTCCTTACCACGTTACCAGGTACAACTGTTAATTACCTGCATAAACACAGTCTCTCTTAGAGGAACCGAGGACCCGGTAGCCGCCGACTTGATCAGCCTCGTAGCTGACAATGTGCATGCAACCATCTGGGGTACGGAACCCATACTCTCCCCTCGTCATACCATCAGCACCTGCCAACATAACCCACCGTCATACAGTACACCCCAAGCTATTTAGGTCTATGCACACACCTATCCAGTACATTACTTTCAATACTGTTACAAGGGTCAGTATGGCCTAGTGCATTCTTAAATGATGTAACTGATGCTTTTATATACGTTTTCACATACAGCAGCAATAATAAAAAATTTTATGGGTAGTAAAAGTTGTATATATATTAAGATTATGTATAGTAACTTAATATTTGTAGCTATTGAAGAAATACGTAAGAAATAGGCTTATATATGCAGAATTTACTATGAGCAAACTGAAATAACGTCAAACGAATCAATATTGAAGTGTTAAGGGGTATATTTGCATAATATTAACCCAATGTTAACATAACCAGCAGCAATACTCACCCTTCTCTTCCTGGCGGAAGTGTGAGCCAGCGTTGAAGCCGAAGTCATAGTTGTCCTTTTTCTGAGACGAAGCCAAGGCCAGCCCCAGAAGCGTCTGTTGACAATACAACACACTAGTTAGAGACGTAACCAATATTTTCATTCAGTAAAATTGTCATACAAGTCCACATTAGCTTAGTACATAGACAGTGCAGATAAACAACGTACTCTTTAAACAAAGTGCTACATGTTGCCTTACGTCTCTTATATCCACTAACATTAACTCTGAAATAACAGACATATGTTCGAAACATCATTCGAAAACATGAATCCGAAACATTTATGGATAAAATAATGTATCGGTTTACTGCTTCGGAAGACTTGGAGGGCGAACTCGGCGTCAGCGTCCCGGCGAGCAGACTTCAGTTGTTGACACATCACGAAGGAGAGAGGCGGAGTTTTATGTTTTGTGTGTGTGTGTGTGTTTCTCGTTCCAGCGGTGTCTACGTATCTTTGGACGTGTGGCTGTTAACTTCAGGAGCCTATCTACAATCTACATCAGGTAACAAATGAGATCTTCAGTCCATAAAACTCAGTCTGTGTTGTGTCAACTGTAAACTACTTTATCATGGTGAACGTAAACACGAAGACGTTATAGCTGGTCTTGGCCTGCAGTGATTATGCAAGCCAACGGATTGTAATATATAAAGTTATACAATACTGCCTGTTAAGTCTTTATTATTATTTGGACGTTGGTGCCACCAGCTGGTTCCTTCCTTTGAGTGTTCTCGAGCACCGCCATGTTGACGTGTTTAAGGTAGCCAGTTAAGACCAAGTGGTACAGTTACTGCTCCCTTCATGTCCTAACACTGAGGACCTGTGATTTCGTTGATGGTTTGTCAGCTATCATGGTATTTGTCTTCAGTTTATTCGCAGATGGCAGGTAAACTATCGTGGGAGACCCGGAGTATTGCTTAAACATAACAGGTCGGTACATTACATCAGTTTTATATACGGTAAATAGTGAAACAGTTACAAATAAGACTCGGCACAGGTTATTCAGTGATAGAAAGTTGTTGAGGCAGATATACTCTCAATTGAACTGGTTGTGTTGAGGGTTTCATGTGAATATATATATATCCAGGTGGTGCAACTGCTGACCATTTGACCCCAAGATCGCAATACTGTTAACCCATCTCTAAACTGGTCTCCTGTTGTCATATATTGTACATAATGTAAGTGTGTGATAACAAGAGAACCAGTTTTCTGCCAACCCGGGCCATTTGTAATACAAGTTGACGTTTGTGAGCATTAAATGATCTTTTGTTATATTTTTTATTGAGTGGCAACTGGTTGAGGCTGTCTGCACTAAATTGAGTGATCATTTTTATTAGTATTAGAGAAGTCAGTTTTTTTTTACCCCGTAGAATGACTCCATCCAACATTTTCGACCCAAAACGCAGATTATTTGAGCTTTGATTTTACGAGTGGTTTCAGGTCTTCTCAACTAAATCGCAGACACTTCTTAATATGTGCGGTTAATATTCGTTTAGTGGCTGCGGCAAGATTTTCGTATGATGCCGGGCATATGACGTATTATGTCTGCCGGCTAACAAATGCCAACACTTCTTGCTAATATAACAAGGGATGCCTTCTGTGTTTCCCTACTCTTACAATGTCTCACTTCAAAAAGCTGGTTTTCCGGCATCTTCGTGGTGTAGATTAATTTAGTCTTTTCTCTTCTATTTTTAATCTTTTAACTCTTACCCCCCCCAAAAAAAAAAACGAACGGTGACTTATAGTCTCTCCAGATGAGAACCTATAATTGGTTTATATTATTAGTATTTTGTATATATATAATAATACTAATACCAATTTGACGGAAAGTAATAAAACGGATTTTATTATAAATAATTCTGGTAAACAAATATTTTTGTTCAAGAAATCTCGCAGTGGCAGTGAAGTTTTTAGTGGGTAATGCGAGATAATTTCTTTCACGACAAACAATGGCAAATGTGTCTCCCTGTCGCGCTACAAGCAGACAAAATACCGAGTTTTTAATGAATGGACGTTCCTTAAATACCAGTTACAATCAACCAGTCATTATTTGCGATAAGGCGCAGCTTACAACCCACCAATTCAGTAATTTTGTTGATGATAGAGGATTTGTCAGGTAAACACTCTTGAAGTGGACGCGGGAATAATGATGGACAGGTGAAGGGACCAAGGCGAGCTGGGTGTGGTAATAATACCTGGTGAGCCACACGCACTCTAGCAACACTAGTTCTCCTGTGAGACTCTATGTAGCAGGGGCAGGATTCTTAAAGGTTCACCAACTAGTAATGCCAGAGCTGAGCAACCCCAACTTAACGCAACCACACGCAGATAGGAGGAGGCTAATAAGGCATCAGAAGTCCATAAAAATCATGTAGTTAAATGCTTCCTCTCTCTCTCTCTCTCAGTTACGGGAAAATTTTAATCTTGGAAAACCCGGGTCCATATCTTAGAATGACTGTACGTCGTTGTTTTTCACTGACCGAAGGAAATATATGGTACAAGGTCCATGCAATATCACGCCGACACACGTGGTTGCAAGAATAGCGGTAGGAGGTACTGTGCTGATCATGTTCGTGAGTGACTAACAGGAAAGTAAAAGTGATGTCACTCAGGGTTATTTCATAATGATGTCCTCACCATTCTAGGTGCAAGATCACCAATAGTAACTAGTTCATGTCCCTCTCAGCAGATGCACACTTTAACATCGGTCTGCTATTTGTCTACGTGCACTACTACGCATATTGGATGTGTAATGTATAAGCAGGATGAACTTATCATCACGGGCACCATGAACGACCAGGCCACAGACTTGAGGTGGGAGGGGAGGCTACAAGGCGTGGGGCCGCCCGTCACCGAATGCCCACCTCACGTTGCTTGCTCACACTCTTTCCTATTGGTAAGTCACCACCGAGGAAATAAATTGACTAACGATCATGACTTAGATTGCGGTTAAGCCTCTCATACTCAGTATACAGGATTCATAAAAAAAAGTTTATGCCGTGTGTTGGTCGGTCAATAGCTGGTGACTTGAATTTTTACACCCCCTCCCCTGGCTCTCGTCTCACCTTGCTAGGCTAAAGTGCAGTCCGTTACCTAACTTCTTCGTACTATAGTCGGCATTTTATCAAGCTCAGTAAGTATGGTTTGAGGAGGTTTATAAAGTTGGAGGAACGTATAGTCCTTGGTCACTTTTACGATTAGCTTCGCGACTTAACCTCAGCCTCCACTCCCCCGAATAATGCTTTTGGGCTTGGCTTCCTATATACGTGAGCTAGGTACCAATATCCTCCAGGTGAATGTACGTGATTACCTCACCTATTTGTGAACTGCAGGAGTGTCAGCGTATATGGCGGGAGCGGCTGCACACAAACACAGCTGGGTTATTAGCATTCATGGTGGTATAGTGGTGTGAGAGACCCGTGATCTATGAAAACACCGATATACTGCAGTGTTTTGATTATTTGTGTACTACTGTTAATATGTGATGTAAAATGTATTGTGTGGTCAGGCTTGAGAAAAAACATGGTTAGAAAGATTTGTAGACCAAGTGAATGACATTTTTCGGGGTGCGTGTTTGTTTTGTACTGTATAAGAATATGTTAAACGTTACGGCGAGCCTTTTTTGGGTGGAGGATTTGCAGCACTGGCACATATCTGTTGAGGACTGGAGGGTAGAATCAGTGACTGTAGCCATCTTGCTGAAACACCCGTCCTGAAAACTTCCACCTCTAGCCAAGTCAATCATCAATACTAACCCCGGAATGTGGTGGTTCGTGTCGTGAAGGTAATCTTTACTGCTCCCTAACCTTAAAATAACCTCGCTATGGAAAGTCATTCGAAAGAACACTAAAAAATCAAAGTTGTTAGATCGTAAATAGTGGAACCTTGATTTTCACCATCCCCAGCAACCTTCACATCATTCCTGGCCTTTAACCATGTTGAGGTAGCATTATTATTAAGTCGGCGTTGTCAGTCTGTTTATTTATAATCTTTATTAGCCACTAAAGCTAAAAGTTTCCGAATCTTTATTCCTGCTGTAAACTCCGTAGGGGCGGGTGAGTGGGTGGGAGTTTGGCTAGCCTGACTTTTTTTTTTGTCAATTACTGTACCTCTAACACTTAATTCTTTCTCCGTTTACCGTCTTCATAATTTGACATTAAACGACTACATGAGATTGAATTTGTTTAACATCTTTTAAAAATATAATTTGTAAAGGCTCTTGACCTGTTGATAAAGTACTAGGCTTTACATTATTTTTTTTGCTTACTATCTTACCACTACGCTTCATAACCGACGTAATGTTAATCTAGCGCATTTTTAATTACCCAGACAGACATTCATATGCAAGATTAAAAGCCTCAACACAACAGAGCATTGAGTTGAGTGCACCACAGTTTATAAAAACACCCCAGCTGTCTGCGTCCCTAAATAGCGAGAGGTGAGGAAAGTACAAGAGTCACAGGACTTTAGTGAGAGTTCTGAAGGGGGAGGAGTCAAGGCCGCGAGAGTCGATGAAAGGGAAATGAGTTAGCGTTCCCCGTGAATGATTATGATTTAGTTTAATATTAACAAGGAGAAATGTAGCCTTCGAGTTTGTGGGGTGTTGGTGTTGTTGGGGAAGGCGGGGGAGACAGACCCATCAATCGTTGTAGTGATAAAAAAAGTTTATTATGCATTGCCACAAACGATTCGTGTGTGTGTGTGTGTGTGTGTAAAGAGATGAATCAACCAATGTAATTTCCTTCTGACAAGTTAACCACGAGAGTTTATTTTCATTAAGTGGATATTAATATTATCTTAGGTACTGTGTAGTGGACGAGAGACAAACCCTCGTCCTTCTTATGGGTTGAGTCCTGTTGCATTAGGATTGATTTTCTTTCTCATTTTCTTATTTATTTTAATATTTTAACCATTATAGCGCCAACAGTTTTTTTGCTCATAACCTGTCAATTCTTTTTCTTTACAACCAATAACGATAATAAACTTACCTTGAGACGAGATCCGCACTGTCGCGGCTGATTTAAGATATGTAAATTTCTGATCATGTTCTCCCGGGTG